GGTAGCCTAGCAGCCAAAGTCCTCGCCTTGCATGTCCCATGATCCCAAACGGGTGCCAGTTCATATCCTGGCTGCTCCACTTCCCATCCAACTCCCTGCTTGTGGCCTGGGAAAGCAGTAGAAGATGGCCCAAAGCCTCAGGCTACCCTATAACCACAAGGGAAACCAAGAAGAAACTCCTGGCTTGGGATTGGCTCAGCTCCGGCCAGTGCAGCTACTTGGGGAGTGAATCAGCGAGTGGAAAATCTTCCTCTATGTCTGTCTTCCTCTATGTTTCTCCTTCTCTCTGTAAATCTGACTTTCCAATATAAATAAATAAATAAAGCCTTTAAAAAAAATGCTGTGGAGTCTTGACCATGGTCCATCAACTATGGTTTACAAATGGAAAACATTAGAAACCCATTAAACAAAAAAGGCATGCTAGGATAATAAATAGAACCCCATTTTTATTCACGCCAGTGATGTGGGGCACTTTGGTAAGATCTGGGCCATGTGCCATTCCCTGACCAAAAGTCTGGCAGAGGGTTAATGGAGAAGCATTTGCCATCCATGCAGAGTGATGAGAAGACAAAAATGGCACATGCGCCCGTCATGTTTCCCGGCCTGGGTTCCTCGGCAGGCCCAGCTCTCCTCAAGCACCTACCCATGCCATCGCATCTCACCTTCCTGCGGCCCTTTAGACAGGTGTTTCTAGGTAAGCAAGCAGACTTGGTCTGAGCCATTGATCCCAAGTTCAAGGCAGAGTCAAGTCCTAAGACAAGCACGTCCTGCACGGAAGCCAGAGCAGTAAGCACCAAACTTTTACACACGTGAAACCTTCCCACGTTTTCAGGAGACACGGCGGCAGGAAGGTCCCAGCTGCGAACTCTACATTTCCCTCAATCTCAGAATGACTCCCAAGTTCTGCCACCCCTTCAGACTCCTCAATATAGTCTTTGGACCTCACAAAACAAACAAACAAACAAACCTTCCCACTGCCAGCATAGTATTGGCTCACCATGGGTGTCCAGGTTAGTGACTGTGGGCAGGAAATGAGCAGGGAGGGGCAGAGGAGGCAACAGGTGTTGTGTGGACGCAAAGCTGCAAGCCAAGAAGGTGAGAGCCAAGGAGAAGGCACCAGGACAGGCTGGCCACACTGGTACAATCACTGCAGAGCCCGACCAAGAACTGGAACACAAATGCTCTTGCCTCAGAAAGAACAAGCGGGATGAAACAGCACCCATCTTCCCACAGTCACATGAACACAGGCCACAATGAGTAACTACAAGGTGTAGTAACACTTGTCCCTGTGGGTTGCTCCACATGAAGGGAAAATGCCTTCCTTCCTCCTTCAGCAACTTTGCCCCTCTGCCACCCCTCCCCTTGCACGCACCTGCTCATGTGCGCCTCCCACTACACGCGCTCTCACCCCCTCGCGACATGCCCACTCCTCAGTAGTCATTCTGCTCCAGCAGCTCCATGCTATTCAGGAAGACAATGATGAGCCTGCTTGGACGTCAGCCTTTCCGCTCACCAGATCCTGAAATTGCAGGCCCCCTGCAGATAACACTAAGTGACACAGTGCTGGGAGCCGTGGGGAAGATGCCATGTGGGAAGCCTGCATCCCTCGGGGAGTGTGTGCACTTGGGTCCTGGCTCCGCTTCTGATACCAGCTCCCTGCTAACACACACTCCCTGAGGGGCAGTAAAGGATGGATCAAGCACTTGGGGTCTATCAACCAAGTGGGAGACCCCGACTGGACTCTGAGCCCCTGGCTTGGGCCTAACCTGACCCCAGTTGTGGCATTAATTTGGGGAGTGAACCAGCAATGGAAAATTTTTCTCTCTCTGCTTTAAGATAAATAAAATGACTCTGTAACCTAACCACAGTCTTTTATAGATGACATTCACGGTCAAAGGTCCACCTAATGCCTAACACGCAGCTGCCACGAGCGCATGGACCGCAGGAAGCACGCCTTGGGCATCTCAGAGGCTGGGCTGCGCACTCAGTGAGGCACGGGAAGGTGAGAACTGACCCAGAGTCCAGCACAGTCCAGTCCAAAACCTTTCCTAGTCCTCATCCCCGTCACTTGGAAAAATCACTTTCTAGGAGGAGCTTTCATGCAGCTCCTGTAAGAAACAAAGCCCGCTATCAGCGGCAGCCTTTGCTCAGCTGATTTCCTCCCTGCCACACGCGTGTCCCACTGTCACGCATGGGGGGCTCTCACTTGCAAAGAGCTGTAAGCTGGTTAGCTGATCACTAAACAATTTTAAAGAGTGGTGCTTGTGGAATCAAATTTCAGTTTCAATTTTTAAAAGTTTGAGCTTGAATTCTGGACTTTTTCATTTGAAAAACAGAATTATAGAGAGAAAGGGAGATACAGAAGCAGAGATCTTCCAGCTACTGCTTCACACCCTGGATGGCCTCAGTGGCCAGAGCCGAGCCAAGCTGAAGCCAGGAGCCAGGAGTGTCTTCCAGGTCTCCTGCATGCGTGCACGGGCCCAAGGACTTAGATCACCTGCAGCTACCTTCCCAGGTGCAGCAGCAGGTAACTGGACCAGAAGTGGCACAGACAGGATTTGAACCAGTACCCATGTCAGATGCCAGTGCCAAAGATGGAGGCCCTGCCTACTAGACCACAGCACCAGCCCCACAGCGCTAGACTTGAACACTGCTGACTTCCACCTGCTTCTGCTTCACAACAGTAAGAGACTCCAGGAGTGACTGCCACGTGCTGCCCACACCTCGGGTGGTTTCCACGCTCTTCCCTTTCCCTCACAGACCCCCTTCTGTGTCTGTGTTCAACCAGATGTTGGCAGCTGCAGGACTCTCCCAGTGTTTCCCTGCGTGACACAGAGCCACCAAGAGCCATGTGACTGGGTCCCACACAGTGGCTCGATTAGCTAATCCTCCTTTACAAATGCCAGAATAATTTAAACAAAATCTCTTTTAAAAAAAGAGCCATGTGATATACTTTCAGTGACAAAATGAAACAAAATTTCCAAGGAAGACAAGTTCAACAATAATTCTTGATTCAAAAATTCACTGTACATCACTACAGAGCATGCAGACGTCCTTTGGGAGTCAACCAGCGAACGGAAGACCCCTCCCCCTCCCTCCCTCCCTCCCGTCCCCTTCTCCTTATTCATTTCCCTCTCTCCTTCTCTAACTTTTGCCTCTCAAATAAACAAATTTTTTTTAAAGATTTATTTTTATTATTTTTTCATTGGAAAGGCGGATATACAGAGAGGAGAGACAGAGAGGAAGATCTTCCGTCCGATGATTCACTCCCCAAGTGAGCGCAACGGGCCGATACTATGCCGATCCGAAGCCAGGAGCCTCTTCCCGGTCTCCCACGCGGGTGCAGGTTCCCAAAGCCTTGGGCCGTCCTCGACTGCTTTCCCAGGCCACAGGCAGGGAGCTGGAAGGGAAGCGGGGCTGCCGGGATTAGAACCGGCGCCCATATGGGATCCCGGGCGTGCTAGGCGAGGACCTTTAACCACTTGCGCCACCGCGCCGGGCCCTAAACAAATTTTAAAAAAAAGATTTTAAGCATTCAATGCCTCATTTTTTCAAGGAAAAAGCAGGCAGGAAGGAGCCAAGAGGCACAGGCACTGCGTGTTTGTATCTGCCTTTTATGCCTGCCATGAAACCCAGGAGGCCAGACACGTTATAAGAGAAGGCTGCGCTCTGGCCCACGCCTGCGGCTGGCTCCCACGGTGCTCCCGGGAGCACAACACCCCAGGGGCCTGGTGCTGACGCCTGAAGGCCCATCCCACCACCTGACCCCAGGCCAGCACTGCCCCCCACTAACCACCAGCACTGGATTAAGTTCCCACCTTCTTGTCGCCATTGACATTAGATGTTGGGGGACTAAACTCCTCAACTTAGGGTTAACACACTGGGAACAGTGGAAGCTGCGAGAAACAGCCTGAGCAGCGCACTCAAAACATGCAATACCTATTTCCCCTGTGCCCTGTAATGTTTTCAAATAAATACAAAGAGAGAGAGAGAGGGAGGGAGGATCTCCTCTGCATTGCCCTGGTTTCCTGCGACACAGGCTGCCAGGCCGTGACATCCCCACGTTCCCTGAGCTCGATTCTGTGGAAAATCTCTCGTTGCCTTTTTTTCCACTTGGGCTGACAAATCCCCTGAAACATCAGACTACCTTCCCCATTCACAGAAGTAAAGAAAGCAAAATAGGCTACTCAGGTGAGCCAAGAGTGCGCACACAACAGGACTTGAATTGTTTGAAAAGGAAGTTTTTGTGAAAAAGGTAGAAAGTTTTTGTCACCACCTTTAAATGAAAAAAGAAAAAACAAAAAAACCCCTTCAGCCTGTATTACCTCAGGTTCTGCCGGGCAAACACACCTGGGGTTCCGCCCTGACGACAGAGCGCACCCCAGGAGGCCGGGACGGTGTCGGTCCCGGGGCAGGGGCTGCTCGGCTGCCTCCAGAACCTTCCCCGTCCGCGCGGGCTTCCCGGCTGCTCGTGCTGGCCCCGCACGGATCCGCACACACTCCTGCTTCAGTGCACGCCAACCACAGACCAGGGTCCCTTAGCGGACTTCTAACGTCACTTTCCGAGTTTCCCGGGTACCAGGCCGCCCTCGTCCCCTCAGAAAACACCCCGGCACGCGAGCCGGCGGGCGAGGCTCGGGGAAGGCCACACGCGAGCAGACACGCCCTCAGGGGCGGGGCCTGGGGAGGGCTCACACGTCCGCGCAAGGACACGCCCTCGGGGGCGGGGACGGGGCGGGGCCGGGAACACCCGGCGGGAGAGGCTCCAGGAGGGCCACACGCAAGCGGTAACGCCCTAGAATGGGGCGGGGCCAGTGGGCGGGGTCCGGAGAGCGCACGCTCCTCCTCCCGTCCGGTTCCTTCAGAAAGGGGTTCCCGCTCCTATGGGCGGGCCGAGTGCTGGCGTAAGCTTCCGGGCCCGCCCATCCCGCACACAGCCCCGCCCTAGGGGCGTGGCCTGGAGGGCGGCCTCCCGCTGCCTGTCGGGTGCTCGGGGCGGACCGGAGCTTCTGTCTGCGCGCCATGGCCGGGCTGCTGGCGCTGCTGGGCCCGGCGGGCAGGGTGAGCGCCCGGGTCGGGCCTCGCGTGAGCTGGCTGCTGGGCGCCGCGGCCCCGTGCGCCCGGTGCGCCTCGCCGCCCCTGGCCCTGGCCTCGCTCCGGCCGGGGCCGGACGCCCGGCTGTTGCGAACGACCCGCGGGAACTGCCAGCGCCAGGTGAGCCCCCCACGCCACCCCCACCTTGGCACCTCCAAGGGCACATCAGGTGACTCCAGGGTGTGGGCCGGGCCCTGCTGATGCCCTCGGCGAATGCTTCCGAGTGGTCAGACAAGCTTTCCTTAAAAAGAAAAGGAAAGCTCTTGTTTGTTTTTAAAAAGTGAATCTGTGAGGAGAGTGGCTTCTCCTGGGTTGGGGGAAGAAGTGTTTAGAGGTGCTCTGGGTGCACCCCCAGCACCCAGGCCGTTGCGTGACCTTCACGATCATGCCTTCCCTGTGGAAGTTTGGGAGACAACTCCAGGAGCTCAGGCTGGCCTGGGCACCATTGGGCTGCCTCAGCGAGCCTTCCAGAACGTTTGGTAGATTTTCGAGGGGGAAGGGAGGTTCGAACCCGTAGCTCCCGGCAACTCATGCACAACCTCCCCTCCCATCAGGCCAAAAGTGCTGTCTGCAAAGCTGGGCACGGCAGAGCATGCCCCCCCCCCAGGAAGCCTTCCCTCACACCCTTGCATGCCCCTTCTGGGCGCCCTCATGGCACGTGGGGTGGTCCTGGGTGTGTGTGGGGGGGTGGTGGCACGTGTGGCCCCTCACTGCACAGACACCTGTGTTCTGGAATGTACTGTCGATCATTCACACTCCGTGGAGTGGGACTGTCCCTCCCTGGCACAGCCTAAGTTGCCATGAGCAGTTGTGATGGTCACCCTTGCTTACCTGGCCTCTGCTGCCCTATGACAGGCGGGAGCAGGGCCTGCCCGGGGTCATCTCCCTGGGAGAACACTTTCCCTGCGAAGGACCTGGGCGGGTAGAGGGGTCCAGGCCCAGCCCGCAGGGGGAGGCACCAGTGTAGGTCCCAGCGGGGTTTCTAAATGGGCGAGACCTTTGCTTAGGTGTCCAAGGGACAGACCCTTTTTCTGCCCTTTTCATTTGGCATATCTTGGTGTCACACTGAGTGGGTCAGCCCAAGTGTGCCCAGCCTCCCCCTGCAGCGGCCAGGACTCAGGTGGGGCACAGCTCTGCCGGAGCCTCCGGACCTCTAGTCCCCCTCCATTCTGGCGTAGGGCTACCATGTCTGGTTTCATTGACTTGGTTTGGCTTTTGTTTATTTGAAACACCGAGACTGGCAGCTCCCACCCACTGGCTCACATTCCCAAATGCCTTCAACATCTGGGAGGCCAGGGGCCCAGAACTCCACATAGGTGTCCCACCTCAGTGGGGGGACCCAGGTATTGGGTTCTGTTGCCTCCCGGGGTGTGCATCATACCCCGCGTGGCCTACGTGTACCCCAAGTGATGTTTTTTCACCAAGCCAAATACCCACCCCTCACTGCCCTTTCTGGGAGACCTTCTCTGAGCCGGTTGCAGCAGCCCTCCCCCTGGCCTGCCTGTCCCCTCCCTAGCTTGCTATTCTTCCACAACACCTGGAGTTTTACTTTTCTACTTGTTATCTGCTCTTGCCATTAGATCAGATGCTCTGGGGTTGGTGGGGGGCGGTGAGAAGCTAAAAGTTCGTTGCTGGGGCTAGCGTTGTGGTGCAGGTAAGGCTGCTGCCGGCACCCCGGCACCCTACATGGGCATTGGCTTGAGTCTCCACTTCCCATCCAGCTCCCTGCAAGTGCACTGGAAAAAGTCAGCAGATGGCCAGAGTAGCTGGGCCCCTGCCATCCAGGGGACACCCTGCCCAGCCCTGTGGCCATCTGGGAAGGGAACCAGCAGATGGAAGATTTCTCTCTGTAATTCTTTCAATAATTAACTACTTAAAACCGAGGTGGGGGGAATCCTTTACTGTTGTGGCCATCTGGGATCTTGGGTGCAGGCCTGTCCGGGTCCCAGCTCTAAGTGCTAAGCCCTGCATGGTTCTCCGTGACTCAGCCCCTCTGGGCTTCCAGGATCCCTTTGGGGGCAGGGGGAATGCACCCAATGTTTGTCTCCCAGGTGGATTGTAGGGGTTCTGTGAATTTGTATTTTCCAAGAACTTAGAACAAAGTACAAAGTACTCAGAATGCTGGTTCCAAGTATATTGCACTGTGTGTTATCACAGGATTGAGAACAGGTGTCCTTCTGAACAGCGTGAACACTGTAGACAAGGCCTTTGGCTCAAGCCTCCAGCCTTCTGCCCGTCTGAATTACAGCTCCTGGTGTTCCCATTACAGGGCAGAGCTGAGTGCGCAACGCACACAGGTGTGCAAGAGGACTTTGTCCAAGCGCAGGCACTTGCAGGATGGAGCATGGCACCCCTGTCCAGGGCAGTGCCCGACAGGTCATGTTTCATAAAAAAAAAAAAAAATGAGTGTCCCACAGTTTCTCCATTGCTTCTGAATCTCCCCTCCTAAGTTCCTGTGTGTCACAGTTTTCTGAGTCTCCCTGAGGGTTAAGAGGAGGAATGCCTGTCTTGCTGTGCTTGGAGGCAGCTAGGTCTCACCAGGGTGGGGGAATGGTGCCTTCTGGAACTCCAGGAACTAACCTTGCGCTAGTCAACAGGAAGTTGCCCCCACCGGTCTTGCAAGAGATACTGCTGCTCCTGTGGCTGGAAGTCTGGCTGCCCTTTTGCTTTCTCCTTCGGCGGAAGGCCTTTGACTTTCATTGTGTAAAAAAGAGGGCCCTCAGGAGAGAGCTTTGCTGATGGGCAGTCTGGCTGGGCCCTGTGTCCAGGGTGGGAAGGGAGTGGCTTTCCCCCGACGCAGCCTGCAGAGCAGGGTTTGGCACTGGCAGGCTCTGCAGATACGTGTGGCCTATCAGTGTGGGACTCCTGGCCTGGAAGGCGGGTGGGGCGTGTTTATCAGCGAGAACTGGGTTTCTCAGCCCTGGTGGCGGGGAAGGGGGGTGGTGGCAGCACTAGGCAAAAAGCTTCGGAGAAAAAGGAGGTGGCATGTACCAGCCCACCAAAAGGAAGCTGCTGGCTGTGTCCCTTCCCCTGCAGGGCTCTGCCTTCAGGCAGACGTGAAGGCAGGAGCCTGCTGAACACTGCAGAGGCCATGAGGCCTGGTGAGGGCCAGCACAGTATCCAGCCTGGCAGCCAGCCACCAACTCCAGCCTGTCTTTTGGCAGTCCAGTGGGAGCCACAGGTCCCAGGGTTTCTAGGAAGTGACCCTGGTGAAGGCCTGCTGCTGGCTCAGCGGGAAGGGCCAACCCCAAAGACATGGATTTTCCTGCCACCTTTAAAGGAACATGACCCCATCTGAATCTTATCTCTGGGACACGACCTGACAGTGACTACTGTGCTAAACTCTGACTCATCCACACCGGGCAGTGGCATCTGAGCCACCTGGAACTTGTGGCAAGCGCAGGTCCAGGTCTCACCCCAGGCTGCCACCAGAGCCGCCTGCTCCCTGCCACATGCGGTGGCTCCCACTGCGAGTCAGGGCCAGGTGTGCCAGGCTGCAGAGGTGCGGCCCATGGGCCTGCAGGCTGCTATTCTGGCCTGTCTCCTTTCCCTCCTGAGGAATCCTCAGCCCCTCCTCATCCTCCCACCAACTTCAAGGAGCAGAGCACTGGCGCTCACCACAGGCCAGGACGCCAGGCGTTACTGTCACAACTTCTGAGAAAAGTGGTCCCTTAGTGAGACGGTGGCTTTATTTTCCCTCTGATGCAATGTCAGCATTGGTGTTTGTGCTGCGCGTGCCCTGGAGGGCTTGCTGGATGCTGAATCGTGATCAAGTGCACTGAGCGCTGCCCCTCCCTTTGTCCTAGATCCCAGCTCTGTCCACCGGAGCATTCACGCTGTTTTACTTTGTACTTGCTGTCCTTGTGAGTTAGCTGTGGCCTCCGCTGCCTGGGCCTCGGTGCAGTTACGCGGCCCCTCCAGGCCTGGGTTGCTCCCCTGTGGTGGAGAAAATGTTGGCATCTACCCCGAGGGGTGACGGCTAAAGCAAGGGGGCCAGCCTGGCTTTGGGAAGGCGCCCCATGAAGTGTCGCTGCTGTGACCACGGGTTGTAGTTACAGTGGCTGCTGTGGCGGCTGACCACAGACAGGTGGGGTAAAGCAACCCAGGCGTGTGTCACAGCCCTGGAGGTCAGAAGCCCGCAGTGGCTCTTTCGGGGCTGACGTCACCGGGTTAGTGTCTTCTGGAGGCCTGCCAGAGAGCCTGCTGCTGGTGGTGTCCAGCCTCTGAAGCCACCTGCATCCCTTGGCTCCCAGGCCTCATCTGGGGCGATGGCACAGCACCTTCCACTGACCAGCTCTGCCTTTTGCGATGTCCTTGGTCCCACCCAGAGAATCCCATCTCCAGAGCCTCACTTGATGGCCCCACACAGTTTCTGGGGATTAGGAACTAGATATCCTTGTACCGGTGAGCAGGTTTCTCCTGGTTTGCTTTGCGCACAGGATCCCAGCAGAGTGACGGAGACAACAGGTGGCAGAGTGAGCACGGGGGAAGGCAAGCAGACCAAGGCTCAGCAGCTCAAGAAGATCTTCCGGGAATACGGGGCCGTGGCCGTGTCCCTGCACGTTGGCATCTCGCTCATCTCCCTGGGCTTGTTTTACATGGTGGTTTCAAGGTGAGACTGGACGGTGATCGTTGCTGTGCTGCCGTGTTAGTCCAAGTATGTACTTCTGCTGCCGGAAGATTTTTTATTCATGCAGCTTTTATCCCATCTCAGAAGACACTGTCAGTCTTACGGCCGGGTTGACTTCTTCCTCTGTTGTAGTAACTCTTCCTGCCTCGTTTCCCTCCAGTGGCGTGGACATGTCTACAGTCCTGACGAAGCTCGGGTTTTCGGAGGCGCTGGTCCAGTCCAAGTTGGCAGCAGGCACCAGCACCTTTGTGGTGGCCTACGCGATCCACAAGCTCTTCGCGCCAGTGCGGATCAGCATCACCTTGGTCTCTGTGCCCTTCATTGTCAGACATTTCAGGAAAGTGGGATTCTTTAAGCCTCCAGCTGTGAAACCTTAATGATCTCTTTAGTTGTGGGCAGATTTGATAGGTTTTAGCACTTAGGAATTTGGGTAGGGGGTGGCCACGGATGGGCAGAGAGCTGTCTCAGAGGTTCTTCTGCTAGAAAGTCAGGTTTTGAATTACACTTTTCGGCTTTATAAACTTTGTTAATGCTGCTTAGCACAGGGCTCGTGTATCTAATGTAAAATGTCAGCAAGGCATCACCAGTGAGTCAACATTGCAGCCCGAAAGCCTGCGAGTGTTCCTTCTGGAACATCTTTGGGGAGGGTCTTCTGCAAAAGCCCTGGGAGCGATCTCTGCTGAAATTCTTAAAAGGAAATGATTGAGTTAGTTAACTCCCCTTCCTCTGATACTTGCTGTCGTTGCCTGCAGTGTAATATGCAACATTGTGCAGAAAGCCGCAAGTACTTCGGTGAATGGAATGAACTCCAACAGTATGTAACCGCGACCCAGTCCGCACAGCACTGACAGTCACTACACTTGAAGAAAAGCAAGTGTTCTGGTGTCCAACTCCAAACACCTTCAACTCTGGGCTCGAAGGACCTGCTTTCCAGAAATCTCAGTAACATCAATCGCAGTTTTGCCTGCAAAACCATGGGGCCGTGCCAAGGGTCATGAGCCGCGCGGCTCCTCAGGCCCTTCCTCCCAGAGGAATTTGTATAGCCATCATGCAGAAAGCCGAGGCATGAGGCAATCTTAACACTTCTTAGACAATCTTTTCTTGTCTCAAACTTCAGACATTCCAGAACTGTCACAATGTTTACATCATGTCACTATTTTTTTAGATAAAACTGTGTATGCAGGAAGATTTTGTCCCACTTCCTAAGAAGCAAAGTTTACCAATTGTGAACACTGGGAGGCAACTATGAAGTGATTCAAGCTGGGAAAGGAGGGAGACCAGGCAGGTGTAATTTCAGGCCACAAAGCCAGTTTTACCCAGATAGGGTGTGTGTTAGCTGAAACAAATTCAAGCTTAGAAATCCAGAGCAAGCTGCCCTGTGGGAAGGAGTCAGGAGCCAGCAGTTGGAAAATGAATTCCCTTGCTGGGTGCATCATTAAACACTTTCTTCCCAACCCTGCTGGGATGCAAGGCTCTTGCTCCAGGCTCCCATCCCCAAAGCCTGCTGCTGTGGAGCCAGGCTGCTTTCCCTTTAAGTCACACAGGTCACGATCAGAAAACCTGCCTGTCCTGGTTTTACTCAGATCTGGCTGCTGACAGTTTCCTAGTTGGCCCAGTTGTCCATGTCACTAACTCTTTGTGGGACAAGTTTATTTCTAAAATGTTTAAAGTGCAACTTTTTTCTGAACCAATTAGCCCATTGCTAAAAGGCTTGATGACGTAACCCTGGAATGCCTCTCGGGGCTCTGGTCCCTTGGACCTCACAGCCAAGCAAGCGACATGCACGTTCTTGGCGCTGGGCAGTTGCCGAGCAAGCTTTCTCATCTCGTGTCTTCAGTGACTTGCTGGCTTGAGGCTCCTAACCACTTTTTGTGCCAGTTCCCCTTTTGGGCCCTGGAGAATGCCTATGCAAGAATGTACCAAAACAGCAGCAAGGTCTACAGATTTAAGGGCTCAAGTCTCAAACTTGGAAGTCATGGGAGTGGACTCAAAGGCAAGCAATAACAAATACCATACAGCCATATGGCCGTCTCCCAGGCCCAGCCCACCCCACTCCTGTGGCCACTAACTACACTGGAGAAACGGGGCGAGGGTCAGGTAACCATTGTGCAGGTTCACCAGCAGGATGTATAGATTGCTTGTATTTACACTGTTTTTATGGAACTAGGAAATAAAACAGCTATTTTTAAAATATAAAGCATTGTTTGCCTCTGATTTTATCTGACACAGCAGCTTAAATTGGTGATTCAAGGATCTCTGTAAAGCTTGTGTCTACGTTGTCTGCCTTCTGACAACTGGCCACAAGAGCGTATTTCTGTGCTAGTACCAATTCCAACACATCCAGGACACCAGAAGTGGGCGGGACTTGCTGCTCTCAGGGCGCCAGCTATGTTCCAGACTAGCAGTGTACGGGCAGGAGAAAGAATTACTCAGGCACTCCAGGTAGACATTTAGTTGTATATTTAGAGTTTACACATATGCCATAACTCCAATGCAGAGAAGAACACCCTGAACATTTAAGATGGCTCCAAGACACTTAGTCTCTTCCATGTCCCAAGTGAGTCCTGACAGCGAGGTAGAGCAGGTGTTTCCGTTCACAAAGTGCCTGAGGACCAGGGCCATAGCTCATGCAAGAGCACCGAGGAAAGCTGCGAGTCTCGAGTCTTTATTTTAACACTTAAAAGAATCACAGATTCATTCCAACAGCATTAGCGGGTTTGGCTACCCAATAAGTTACACACACACTCAGGTACTTGCAAGATTGCCATGTAGCCAATTAAGTCGGGGCATGTGGTCACATGCCCCACAAGCAGACACCAAATTGTTTCCCACAGGTCACCTTGTGCAGTGCAGGTTCTGGTGAGTGGTCAGTACTCGCCTCCTGATCAGGAAATCAGCAGCCGTCGCACCACGCTTGTGGCTACTCTGACCCTGAAGCAGAGCTCACTGAGCAGGAGGCTGTGGTACTGCTGGTCCAGACACAGCGCTTCCCGTCATGCTCTGCACGAGAGTCACAGCGTGTTCCTGGCAGATGGGCTCCGCAGCAGCCCTGGCTCAACCGTTCCGCCCCGTGGGATTATGACTGCTTGCCAGCAGGCTCTTTGTTTGGGCAGCTGGAGGGCTTTGTTGACTTGGCTGTGACCCAGGGGTGCTCGAGAACTTCCGTCAGGGTGGGCCTGTGGCTGGGGCTGTGCTTCAACAGTCTGGAAATGAGGTCCCTTGCTCCCTCAGTCACAAAGTCGGGGAATGTGAATTCAACCTGGAACAAGCATCACAAACAGATGAGACTACGCATAGTCCACATCCTCAGGCCACAGATCGTGCCCAGGCTCCTGAGGGAAGAACCCATGGCAGGTGCCAGTTCCTCTGCCATTAGGGCTTACCCGTGATATGCGTCTGTAGGTCTCCTGGTACGTGTTGGCCTCAAAAGGAGGCTTCCCCACCAAGAACTCGTAGCACAGGACTCCCAGGCTCCAGAGGTCCACCTTCTCGTCATGCATGCAGCCTTCGATCATCTCGGGGGGCAGGTAGTCCAGCGTGCCGCACAGGGTGGTCCTCCTGAACACAGACAGTGGGGAGGCTCGCTGATGGCTCAAAAAGCATGAATGGAACATGCAGTCTCCTAGGCCAGACCCAGTGCTAAGGTGGGCACTGCACATCCCAGCTCCACGCAGCAAGCGGAACAAGCCCTGCGGCAGCCAGGCTGCTCCTAACTGTTCCAAGACCTCCTAGAACAGCCTGACTCAGGGAAATAATCGAAAAAAAAAATCACCTATCAAATTCCATGGACCCCTGCTGAAACAAACATGGAAAAATAGTGGGTTTAACTATTTAATTTTCTTAAGACTGACCACATATGATTACAGACGAGTATCCTGATTTTGAGGAGATGTATACTGCAGTGCTCAATGAACAAGCATCACATTCGCAACTTATATTCAAACATTCACCAAAGGGGCCAGCTAGTGGCACAGCCTGCAATGCCAGCATCCCTTCTGAGCACTGCTTCTCATCCTGGCTGTTCCACTTCCAATCCAGCTGAAGTGCTTTGGCCCCCGCTACCCACATGGGAGCCCGCGGGGAGTCCCTGGCTCCTGGCTTCAGCTGGAGCTGTTGCAGCCTCTGGGGAATGAGCCCAAAGATGGTATACTGTCCTCTCCCTCTGTTCTCTGCCCTGAAAAAAAATCACCAAAAATCAGCGCAGTCAGTGTGGTGAAACATTGGCAACTGTCGAATGCAAGTGTACACAGATCTACCAGTGGCTGCCAAGCCAGTGTTTTTATTCTGTCTTCATAGGCAGGGTGGCCGCCACTCAGCCAACAGTGGCCTGGGAGGTCTGTGACAGAGCGGGGACTTTGTCCAGCTGTGTCTGGCCCAGTGAATGCAGGCGTGTCCCGGCAAGCAAGCAGGGACGTGGGCCTGCACACTGACACCAACAGAAACTGTGCACAGGACCAAGGACTGGCCGCAGCACCACCTGCGTGGCGGGAAAACGGCCAGCAGTGTTCCCTCGGAGGACTGCACAGGACAAACGCTACCTTTTCTACCACGGTGACACCACAAGACAGGGTAAGTTGGAGACCTAAACAATCCTGCGAACCATGAAACCTAGAATCTCTCGTTTGTCTCACTGGGAACAAGTGCCCCCACTAAAAAGAAAATGAGACTCCAATAGATGCAATGCCTTGATGGAAATAATCAGAAGTGGTGTGTGTAATAGACAGGCATCCCTGCAACTCTCAGGCCACATAAAAACTTTTTATAAATACTTTATTTACTTGGAAGGCAGATTTACAGAGAGAAAGAAACAGGTCTTCCATCTGCTAGTTCACTCCAACCAGCAGATAGCTGGAGCTGAGCCAATCCAAGGCCAGGGGCTGCGTGGGGTCTCCCACGCAGGTGCAGGGCCATCCTACACCACGTTTCCAGGTTGTAACTAGGGAGCCAGATGGGAAATAGAAAGCTGGGATACAAACTAGTGCCCGTATGGTATGCTGCTGCCACAGGTCCAAGATCAGCCCGTACACACAACACGAGGCTCCGGCATAATTTTTTTTTAAACTAGCTTTATGGGCCCAGTGTACTAGCATAGCAGCTAAAGTCTTTGCCTTGCACTCTCCAGGATCCCATATGGGTGCTGGTTCTAGTCTCCATTGAACTTGGAAGTATTTCCACATTCCCAGACAAAATATCTTACTGCAAGATAGATATGCTGCCTTCTAGAACTCCAGCCAACTACCAGGGTGTCTGCCGCACTGCACCCCTGCAGGCCCAGCCTCTCAGCCCAGGGGCTCCTCCCTTGTGCCACACACTGGTCTGCTGGCTCACCTGCCCCCTTCGCCCATCTTCACCCCCAAACACAGAGCACTACTGACAGCCCCAAACAGCTAGAGAATGAGATCATCCTGAAGGCCCGAGGGTCGTTACCAGGCCTAAGTTACTCTGCCCAGCCTCATACAAAACCCACATGAACTTGGCTCCTGCTCAGAGCAACAAGCGTCAGCGCTGAGGTCACCCACCTGGAGGACGGGGCGTGTACCGACCACCCGAAGTCTGCAATCTTCAGCTCTCCAGCTGACCCAAGCAGCAGGTTCTCCGGTTTAATATCTCTATGGATAACTCTCTTGGAATGGCAGTAGGACAGGGCATTTGCCAATTCGGTGATATACTAATTAAAAAACATTAAAAGTCTGTTTTAGGAATGAAGTAATGCAAGTTACTAGTCAACACCTCTCCTGAAAGGGAGACTCAGCAAGGGACGTGTATGGCGGAGATTGAAGAAATAAGACACAAACCCAATGAAAGGCAATAGCCCCGACTTGTGTGCACTGGGTGCGCAGCCAGCTCCTTGCCGAGACAGCTCATGTGATGCCCAGGGACCGAGAAGGCACTGAGGCCGAGCCGCAACTGTCGCTTCCCGCAGCGATTCCCGGCCCGGTGGCGAAGCACTAAGCAGTGCTCAAGAGCGGCACAAGCCAGGAATTCTAATGCACAAGCAATGCTTCAAGAGCTTAACGCTTTCAAGTACGGTCAGTTCCCATTTTCAAAATTAACACCATTGTAGAACAAAAGATTTAAAGCTAAATACATCAAAATTTTGCGGAAAATGTTACTCCAAACAATAAACAGATACACTGTACAATGAATAATGCTAACTTTACATGTGTTCCCCCTCAAAATGCTACAACTTAAGTCAATGCAGCAGAGCTGGGAGTGGGATGGGGCCCCAAGACATCTACACTCTCATCAATGAATCGTGCCCATCGTAAAAGGGATGGAGAGGCTGGCATCGGTGTGGTGGGCAAAGCCACTGCAGAGGGCAGCTCAAGTGCTTGCTCCAAGCAGGCCCAGGTCCAGCTCCTGGCTCTGTCTGGCTCAACCTTGCTTATAGTTACAGGCACCTGTGGAGTGAACCACAGAATGACATTTTCAGATGAAATATTTTAACAATAATAATGGCAACACACCCCAAATATGTCTCAAAGACGTGCATGACAAGATGTCAACATCATAATGAAACTGCAAATTAAACAAAGAGATACCACTCCTCAGCTACTACAATGAGCAAAACACGAAACTCGGGTGCTGAATCTAGTGAGACGAGGAACCATACTCATCAATAACAGATGAGCTGGCAAGCCCACGGAAGAAACAGATGATTCCAAAATGCACATCGCTAAGAGAAGAAACCACTTCAAAAAGGCTGCAGGCCGCTCTGATGCCAATTATCCAGAACTACACCCAACAGAGCAGTGGTTGCTACCGACTGGGCAGAGGAGGTGCCAGGCCAGAGACCCCACTGCAATGGCAGCTGCGCAGCATGACGCCCTTATCCAGAGAACTTCATCATACAAAAAGTGAACCTTACTATAAGTGGGTTTAAAAGGAAAACACTTAGGTCAAGGGGTCCCAGACTAGTTAACCAAGTTACAAACCTCAAGCCACCTCACTGAGTACACAGAGAAAGTGGAGACTATCTGTGGATATGAGTGAAGTCTGAACTGAACCAAGACAGAAGAACCTGCAGGAAAGCACCCACAAGCTACTCTGGTTGGCGACGTTTCCCACGGGGCAAATGTTAACGATCCTGGTACAATCATGTGCACACTTGAGTTGGGTAAGCCCAAGACAGCGTCGGAAACCCAGCTTTCTCACTGTCAGAGCAGCAGCGTACAGAGAAGCCAGGGCCAAGCCAAGATGGCCCACAAGGTGTGGATCTGAGACGGCAACGTCAGGATGAGCTCATGGAGCTTGAGAGAAGAAAAACTGACACCCCCATAGCAATGAAGAGAGCCAGCTTCAACCTTCGTTTTTAACACATGACCAGGAGCTGGCACCACGGTGTAGTAGGCTACGCCTCCACCTATAGAGCCACCATCCCATTTGGGTGTCAGAGTGTCCCAGCTGTTCCTTTCTAATCCTGCTCCCTGCTTATGTCCTGGGAAGGCAGTGGTGGATGGCCTAAGTTCTCGGGACCCTGCACCCACATGGGTGACCCAGAAGAAGCTCCCCACCCCTAGCCTCAGTCAGCTAAGCTTCAGCCAATACTAACATGTGGGCAGCAAACCAGCAAATGTAGGACCTCTCCAAGTCTCTTTCCAACAAAAATCTAAAAATAAATCTAAAAAACAAAAAAATTGCCAATAAAAGCAATCAAGGAATGGATAACTAGTTAGTACTGGAGGTCTGTCAACCCTCCAAACCCTCCAAAAACCCACCTATAGCGATGGCTTGCAAGCAATCCTAAGAAAGAAATCTTCCGATGGCCAAAGCGGAGACAAAATAAGCAACCAAATGAAACAGAACTAGGTAACTCAAAGTATGAAAAAAATATCCCCGAGTCTACATTTTAAAATACATGAAATCAGTAAGGGATAACAGCTAAATCTATGATGCAGAACTGCAAGTAACTCCGGTAGCTCCTCTGCCCTCCACTGAAAGGCAGTGTGGGAAGAGGAAGATGGCCCCTGCCCAGCAGAGAAGCCCCAGTCAGGGGACCAACCAAACCACACAGACGCTGAAGAACCTGCAGGACGCACGACCTCAGTGAGCAGTCATGCTTCTGTTGGTCGCCAGGTTTGACAAGCATGCTGCATTAATGCAGGACAGTGGTCACATATGAGGTATAGGCAGACCTGCACTGTCTTCCCAACTTCTGCAAAATCTGAAACAAAGCACCATTCTTAGGCACATTTCCACAGAAAACCTCAAAACGAACAAGCCACACACTCTAGCAGGCAGCTGCTTTTATCTGCACATACTCCATCTGAACTGTCTGGCTCTAGTTTGAAGGTAAAGCCCACTCTAGTGTAACCAAGGGCCCACTGCAGAGAACAGGCAGAAAGGACAGAATGGTAACTCACGGTGGCAGCTCTCTGCTCATCAAACCGGGACAGCCTTTGCAGCTCTCTGTAGACGGTGCCCAGCGGCGCGTACTCCAGGATCAGGTAAACGCGGGTGGCGTCTTGGAAGTAGCCGTAGAGCCGTAGGATGTTGGGGTGCCTGCAACACGAATCAAGACGCTGGGTGTGCAGCCATGGGCTGACAGACTAGCATTCAACATCAAACTAAGCTTTGCACAAGCCCACTGTAAACTCAGGCTTCTCCAGACACATCCACACGGCACCTCACCATGCAGATTTAATTAACATCATTCCTTCTTTCCCTTTACTCCTGGCAGCAAACTCAGATAAATACCCATTTCAGATAAAGACTCCATGTGGGACCATGTGCACCACAGCCAGGCATAGGCTAGCGCAGGGGGAAACCCCAGGCCCGAGCACCCCCAGCACAGGCAGCACAGGCCTGGTAGGGCCAGATTGCAAAGATGAGCATCTGATTCACACTTGAAACCCAACAATGCACTCACTAGCTCTCTGTGGTCCCAGCAGGTAGGCTCTCCCAGGCCCACGCTTGCACACTCACACTCACCATGCCCAGCTCTCACGGGCCCATGCTCATACTCTCACTGTGCCTGGCTCTCACGGGCCCACACTCACACACTCACCATGCCCGACTCACAGCCCATGCTCACACTCTCACTGTGCCTGGCTCTCACGGGCCCACACTCACACACTCACCATGCCCGACTCACAGCCCATGCTCACACACTCACTGTGCCTGGCTTTCACGGCCCTGCGCTCACACACTCACACTCGCTGTGCCCAGCTCTCACAGGCCCATGCTCACACACTCACTGTGCCAGGCTCAGAGCCCTGCGCTCACACACACACACTCACCGCAGGTGTGACTGGATCTCCACTTCCCTCCGGAGCTGATGTTCCACCCCGGCCTTCTCCAGCTGGGCTTTAAACAGCACTTTCAGAGCTAAGATAAACTTGCTCTCTTTCTCTCTTGCCAAATAAACATTACCAAACTTTCCTTTACCCAGTGGGCGACCAATGTCAAAATCATCCAAGGTCCACTGCCTTCTAGAAAGGAAATTAAATATTCTAGATTGTGAAAAGCAACCTTTAGACACATTTTATAATTTAACATTTAAAACAGCATCCAGTATGTACCCTTGGTAAGAACCAGGGCAATAGCCACTCTTAATGAATTGAAAAGATTAAACCCGATGCCCTTGGCTGCCACTAACTGAACTGGTGATGACAAAAGCAATCAGACTTTACACTGGGAAATGCCCTGAAGCACAGATATTAAGCATAACCACCAAGATCACCAAACAGGGTACCTGAACCGCAGCCTCGACCTTGAAAGGCAGACAGTGTGTGGAGAGCCATTCAGAGGGGGGACATGGGATCACCACCATTAGTGAAACCAGGCTAGACCCCACAGGCTGAGGCTTAAAGCCATGCGGTTTGGTTTCCAAAGAAATTTCTGAGGAATCTTTATTTTTTAAAAAAAGTGTGGCTTCTCGGGTCCAGCACAGTAGCCTAGTGGCTCAAGTACTTGCCTTGCACACACCAGGATCCCATATGGGTACCAGTTTGTACCCCGGCAGCCCCGCTTCCCATCCTGCTCCCTGCCTGTGGTCTAGGAAGCAGTCAAGTACAGCTCAAAGCCTTGGGACCCTGCACCCGCGTGGGAGACCTGGAAGGGGCTGCTGCCTTTGGATCGGCTCAGCTCCAGCCATTGTGGCCACTTAGGGAGTGAACCAGCAAATGGAAGACATTCCTCTCTCCTCTCTGTATCCTTCTAATAAAAATAAAATCATTTTTAAAAAGTGTGGCTTTTCCCCTATTCCAGAGAATTCACAGACTGAGTGAAGTTTTTAGAAAAATCCCTGGGGAAGACACGCTAGCCAACCTCTCCATGACACAGAACGAATGTAATCGTTGTTCACACCATCCAAGTCTGAGCCCAGGACACACTTCTTCAACCCTGCATGCTCTATAACCATGAGCAGCACACACACCATGGCAAGTGGCCACCTCCTTCTAGAAGCACACAGCACATTCACTGTCACACAGCCAAACGTGTTTTCTCTAAATTTGAAATGTAATTTAAAAAATATCTGTGAACAGCAATTTTAAAAACTCACTTTTTTTAAAGATTGGAAATCTAACAAACTTTCACCCAATTTATAACGAAATGATGTATTCTAGAAAATTGTCACAGAACCTTGTAAACTAAAAATGCTTACTTTTTAGATTTTTCATTTTGCTGGCTTGATGCCGGTCCCTTTTCAGGATTAGCTCCTGTATGGAATAAGTTTGAAATCTGCTTTTAGAATTATTATATAGAATAAGGTAGACAATCATAACACAGGTGAATCAAGTGACCTTAAAGCATTAACTAAGATGAAATCGAAAAATGAATCAGCTGCTCCGTGAGCAGTCATCACAGGACAGGTGCCCCCTCACCCACCTCCCAGGGCTCCAGGGAGGGCACCACATTGAGAGGCTGCAGACCCACCTAAAGCCACCGCCAACCCACCCAGGGTACCACCTCTCATCTTCCCTCAGCAGGGTGGCAGCCACGGCCACAGGACTGCATGCCCACACAGCTAACAAAGCAGAAACACCCCGAAGTGTAGAAACAAAATCCAACGACTCAGCAACACGCACAATAACCCAGCTGTACAACAGGGGAGCACGTGTTCCTCAACACCCAAACAAGAGCTCTCTGGGACACTTGCATCCTAGAAACAGCCAGTTTGCTCCACTCACAATTAGACTGCAGGTCCAAACTGGGGATTATATCGCCATCAGCGCTTCGCCAACTCACTCACAATGACCATGGCAGTGAGGACACACAACCGCCAAATGATGCCGGAGACCAGAACACGCCACCCAAGCTAGACTTCTCGGGATGTCTGGGGCTGGATACTTCAGAGACTGAGCAGCTCTGCAGGGTTTCTCTTACCAAATGTCCTCCTAAGTGTCTGTCGGGCTGCAGCGGCACACCCTCCCACCCGCGCAACAGGACAGCCTGAGCTTACCTGCACTGCCTGCCAGCTTTGCTGCAGCGCGCAATAAAACAATTCCATCATCTGCCCCTCGCCCCGCCTTCTCGCATCTACTGAAGTGGATCTTAGAGAGGGCAGGAAGAGGACAGAGAGATCTTCCCTCTAACAGATCGTTCACTTCCTACATGACCCCAACAGCCAGAGCTGGGCCAAGCAGAAGCCAGGGGCCTGAACTCCAAGTGGGTGTCCCATGTGAGTGGCAGGGGACCAGGCACTTCGACTATCTCCCACTGCTTTTCCCGTCACATTAGCAGGGAGCTGGAGGAGGCGTAGCGACACCCACTGGAAAGCTGGTGTTATGGCTTAGCAGGATTCCACCTGGCCCTTGAGCCTCGTATCTGTGTGACGCCTGTGTGTGCACACACGTCATCAGGGCAACTTGTCTGGCTAAATTATGTACTGTCCATTCAGTGACAGACACAACTTTCCAATCTTCAGAGGGTGAACAGAAGTTCTTTTTTTCCTTACACTGCAATTCCCAAAGCCTTTTCACTTGCCCTTCCGGACCAATCTAGCACCTGGCTCTATCAGGTCTGCATCAGAAATGTTTGCGGCGTGGTGCGCGCCCCTCTGTCCTCACTGCTTCTGGACACATTAACTGCTCGGAGTCCCAGCTTACTCCTCTGCGAAGCGGAGTCGCCACTCCAGCTGCCTTCAGGAAGCGGCCATGGGGGCTGGCAGGGACAGGAGCAGGCAGCACCCGTCTCAGAGCCTGCAAGCCAGGGCAAGGAACATCCAGCCCGCTCCAGCAGGCACGTCATCAGGCCTGACCTCGGCCAGCCTCCTCCAGGGCAGCCTCTGTGCTCTGCGAGTCATCACTCACATAGCAAGCTTCCTGCCAGCTCACAGCGGCCCTGCGACAGCTCCCCAACGTGCCCACTCCGTAACGAGGCAGCCGTGCCCGGGGAGGCCTCGCCCAACACGGTCTCCGTCCATCCACTTCAGACTTCCTCCCCAAGCGCCAGACCTTGACTGCCTCAGTTCCACAAATGCCCTGGTCATGAGCTCCTCACACTACAGCTCCCTCAGAAGCAACAGAAGGCACATGGGATTGGCACTGTTGCCCGACTGCCAGGTTGCCCCATTCCTCAGAGAGGACGGGAACATGGGGGACAGGGTCTGTTTTTGTAGCACACCGGTTGTCCTCTCAGTGGACAGTGATGTAAAAGCTACGCATGTGACGGTGCTGGCTCATATTACACTTACAAGTGCCAGCATCCCATAGGGTGTGGTGCATCTTCCGGCTGCTCCACTTTCCATCAGCTGCTTTCCTGCTTTCCCTCAGGAAAGCACTGGGGAATGGCCAAAGCCTTGGAACCCAGCAATATGTGGGAGACCCCAGGGAAGGAGCTTCTGGCTCTGATCAGCTAAGCTCCAGAAGTTGCATTTGGGGAATGAACCAGTGGATGGAAGATTTTTGTCTCTCCTCCTCTCTGTATATCTGTCTTTCCAATAACAAATAAATCTTCAATAAATAAAAGCAGTGCACATCTAACAAGTATTTCCTGAACAGCAGCTGGAAAGAAGAATCCATGAGCCTCAGGGAGGATTTACCAGGTGCCGGCGGCGGGGGCAGCTGGGGTGCCTCACTCTTCGGGGTGCTACTCGGCGGCTTGGAGACAGGGCGAGGCGCAAGGGTGGCCTGCGTTGGAACTTGCTTCAGTTTCTGCACAGGCTTCTGGGTGGCCACGAGCCGCTGCGCCTGCGCAGGGACCCGCTGGGAGGAGTTTGAAGGACACAGGACACGCTCAGCCTGGCCACTGCTCACAGAGACGGGATGCTGTGTCACTGGGACACGCTTGGGGCCATCACCAAGCAGGGGAGCCTAGGAGAGGAGAGAAACCAGAGACAGACGCTCAGAGACCTGACCATGTTTCTGTTCCATGGTAACAATGCCGTCGCTGCCAACACCAGAAGGGAAAAGCCCCCTTTCCCCACACTTGCAGGACAGTTGGTGTCAGCACAAACCTGTGTCCGAGTGACGGCTCCTCCCCCAGCACCTCTCACCTATCACTGAGCACTATCGAAAACCTCAGTTTTGGCAACATACACCTTGCTACTCAGCAAAGAGCCATAACACTAAGACTTCAGGCTAAATCCCAAGTCCACTGACGTGTCTTAAAAGAGAGGCCAGTGTCGCAGCATAGCATGCTAAGGCTCCCCAAGACGCTGGAATCCCGTATGGGCGCCGGCTGGAGACCCAGCTGCTCCACTTTCGATCCGGCTGTTGCTAGCATGCCTGGGCCCCTGTACCCACACAGGAGACACAGAAGCAGTCCTGGCTCCTGGCTTCTGCTCAGCCCAGCCCTGGCTGCTGCAGCTATTTGAGGAGTGATTCAGAGATGACAGCTGTACATCTCCACTACCTTGCCCACCCCTACCTCCCTCCTCCCCTCTTTAACTCTGCTTTTAAATAAGACTGAAAACTGAAAATGTCCAACAATGGTTATACTTAAATTTTAGAACAGTCTAAATTTTAGTATATGCTAAATTTCCTACAATAAGCTTATAATTTGTCCATGTCTCATTTTCCAAGCACTTAGAAAACGAATTCATGCCGAAAGAATATCAACAAAGAAGGAACAAATGCACCCTTGAGTTTTACTAAAACATACTGACGTGCCTGTAAGTAGTGCACTTCCGGGGCCACTGGTTTATCCCGCTTTGAAACCTTGAGCTGATCTAACGAAAATCCTGGGGTGAGAGATTTTCTGCAGCTCGACAAGGCCCAAAACCCATCAGCAGCTCCCAGGATGAGGACTTCCAAAGAGAACATACGGCTTCCAAAAATCACACCAACTACCTGTGAAATAGGCATGGTGCGTACACACAGCAGGTGCTCAGGCACGCATGAGCAAGTTACAAACCGGAGGAACCGATTCCAGACAGGAGACCAAGTGCTGTGAACACCGAAGCGATCACGCTCCATCAGACTGCGGCAAGGCAGCTGCCTATGGCACCCCAGGGCAGCACTAGGCTTTGGCCGCGGCTCATCGCAGCCATCCGCTTCTGTACCTGATTGGCTAAGATGCAAGCTGACTGCTTTGTAATGTGCACCACCTGAGCTGATGCTCCCTGGCCGCTGCGTGCTAATGAGAGCCTCAAGGCCCCGGCTTGGGCCATGCGGGCGCTGGTTCCTGCAGCGTAGCAGGAGCGGCCGAGCTCATCAAGACTCCTGCACTCGGTGGGGTGTGAGCTGGCTCTCCACCACAGTTACTCTATTTACCTTAATAGGCCCAGAAATGCAGTTCTCCTTGGATCTTTCCATGATGCCTAAGGGAAAAGCAAAACATTTTATTTAAATAAAGTCACCTGTTCCAAAGCATCCTTACTCTAAGCAAGGTCACAGCTCTGACAAAAAGCCTTCCATTAGCACAGCATTTACACTTCCGTGTGTCCAAACACAACTGAGCAGGGCAGAGTAGCTGCCCCATCCTCACCTAAAGTAATATACAAGTTCTTCGCTCTCCCTGAGGGCCAACCTCTCCCCTGCCCTGACACCTACCCACCCCCTGGGACAGCCTCAACGTGCCACTCCAGCATCTCCCGTCACACATGGCCTACTGGATCACCTGCCACCTTACACCCTTCATCAGGATGCCCTCGCATTCCCACGTAGTCAGCCCCCGGACTGGCCCTAGAGAGGCCACTCCAGCCCAGTGCCCATGTTAGCAGCACTGCAAGAGCCGACCACTGCCTAACCCTTTCCTTCACTCAGCTGCCACATTCACCGCTGCCTCACTACATGTTCCATCTTAGCCCTCCACTCAACTGGCCTCATTTCTTGCAATCGGAGAGTCTGGCTTGACCTAGGAATGACAGCTAGGACCCCCATGTCTCATCCACCTGCCTTCTGAGGAGCCTCATCCAGCCTCTATCAGCTTAACTCAAACGCACCTTCTGCCTGGACCCCTCTCCTCTGACGAGGGGGACTCGGAGGTCAACCAGCAGCCCAGGCCCTCAGGAGCAGACAACAAGCACCCCAACTGCCCCTCCAAGCACCTCTGCCGGTGGTGCACGAAGGCATCCCGAGCTCAGACTCACCCGGTACCTCCACACTGGGAAGGGGAAACCCTCCAGGCTCTCAGCACACACAGAACCCATCTCCACACCAGACCTGGTGCCTCAGCCTATCTCCTACACAGGACTTCCACCCTTTCGCGTCCGGCCGCCTCCTCCTCTCCAAGCCCCGGCAGCAGGGCCTGTGCACACCTGCTCCCTCTCCTAGGAGGCCTTCTCTCAAGCGGGGCTCGTTCCGGCATTTCATTCTGGTCTTAGCTAACCAGATTGCACAGGCTCCAGGCCTCTGTTCTCATTGATTCAACTTAGCCACATAATACGCAGAACGGAGTTCAGATTCGGACCCAGAATTCTCGGCAGAGGCTCCGTTCAGACGCGGGAAGCACCGGACGAGAGGCCCTTGCTTTCCGGGTCCCGGGATGCAGTAACACGCTCGCAGGGCGGTGAAGGTGTGCGAGGGTAGAAGAAGCGGGCAGGGAAGCGAGCAGGTTGCCGAGAAGCTTCGAATTCAGGAAACGAGCAAGTCAAGGGCTGCAGCTAGGCGGGCCCCAGTGGGCGTTCGTTAGCCTCGATCAGCAGAAGCCGCAAGGGCACACGACCCACACGCACCTGCCGGCCCGCAACACCGGCCTCCGGGCTCCTACTCCCGAGAGGGCCTCGGCACTGCCAGACGGGGCGGCCCGGAGCTCCTGGGGAGTCACACACACCCCGACGGGGCGGCCCGGAGCTCCTGGGGAGTCAGACACACAGACACACACACGGCTGTCACTTCCTCGACCCTCCAGGCCTTCGCCCTGCGAACCCCAAGACTCACTCGCATCCAAATACCGAATGCAAAACCTAGCCACTCGCTTCCGCCTCCGACCACAAGAGCGACCGGGGGCGCCGGGCTCCTCGCGCCGGCGCCCCCGACCCAAAGGCCGCTCCTCACCCAAAGGCCGGCGCCCCCGACCTCCTGTGCCCCCAAGCCCGGCCCTCACGGCCGACCCACCGGCGGACTCCTTCCTCCGCCGCCCGGGCGCCGACTACCCCGCAGTGACCAGCCGTTAGGATTCAAAGGGTTTTCATTTTAAATAGGAGTTAAACCCTCCAGGCCGAAAGCTGATTGGCCCGAACGACAGCAGGGCGCTCTGTAATTGGATCCCAGTGAACCCCACGCCCGGAGGCACGTTCCCCGACGCAGACGGCGCGCAGGCGCACTTGCCCCGGAAGTGCTGGCGCCAACGGCCCTTCCTGCAGTTCGGCTTCTAGCACCTGCTGGGTTCTCCGGAGTCAAGTGTTTGCTCGTGAGACTGCAGCCGCCGGGAGTCAGGGTCGTCTCATAGGAGATAAGTCGGAATTGGCGAACGAAGCGCTCGAGTCTGCCAGTAAGTAAGATGGCGAGGAGTCCCAACGAGAAAGGGTCCCATCGATAGCGCCGCGCTCGGCGTGGCGCCCTTCGCGCGTGCGCAGCAAACGTGCGCTCGGAGCGATCGATTGGGCAGCATTGGCGCCTCCATTTTTCTCGCGGGAAGCGAGAGAGCTCTATTTGCGGGTATGTTGCTCCGGGGGCATGGCAGGCGTGGCTGGGTGGTGGGCCGTGCCCTTCGGGGGACCGCGTAAAGGCCGGGGGTCGAGGCGGGCAGAGGGAAAGGGAGTGAGGTGACAGGTTCCCGCCGTGCCGGGCTGGGCCTGCACGCCCTCTCTTCCTCTGCGCCCCCGGGCCTCTCCCGCACCCCTCCGGTCGGCCGTGCTGGCTCGGGTCTTCCTGTCCTGGGGACCCGAGGTCTCATTGTTCTGGGGTTCGGGTTCTCCCTGTCCTGGGGGCCCGGGTTCTGCCTGTCCTGGGGGTTCGGGGTCTGCCTGTCCTGGAGGCCCGGGGTAGCCTCTCCTGAGAACCGGGGGTCTGCCTGTCCTGGGGGTTCGAGGTCTCCCGTCCGGGGGTTCGGGGTCTGCTTGTCCTGGGGGCCCGGGGTTGCCCTGTCCTGGGGGTTTGGGGCCTCCCTGTCCTGGGGGCCGGGGTAGCCTCTCCTGAGAACCGGGGTCTGCCTGTCCTGGGGGTTCAGGGTCTCCCTGTCCTGGGTGGGGTTCGGAGTCTGAGGGTTTGAGGTCTGCTTGTCCTGCAGGCCCGGGGTTGCCCTGTCGTAGGGGCACTGGGGTCTCCCTGTTCTGGGGACCCGGGGTTCACCAGGCCTCCGGGTCGGGGAGCGGACAGCTCTCTCCCCTTCTGATTTCTTGGGCCCCACGGGCACACCTGCAGGAGTGAAGTTCCAGACCGGTGTTACCAGCACCAGGGTCCTGCGCCCCAGATATGCAACACGTGGTCATGTGTGTGCAAATACAATCTGAATCACAATGCTTTCAATTATTTTAAAGAAATTTTAAAGTGTGTTTGCTGTATCTTTTTCTATCTATAGATATCTATTTATGAACTAAATCACACAGTAAGAGTCCCCAGGCACAGTTGCCCTGAAACAGGTGCTAAGAGTGAACGTGGCTCCGTGATGGAAGCTGATCTAGTTGTGACAGGATAGCAGGGACAGTGTCCTGCCTGTTTGTCACAAGCCCTGACTCATGCTGAGCGAAGAAATGGGAGCTTCTGGGCTGCTGTTAAGAATACACACTGTGGGCCCGGCGTGGTAGCCCAGTGGCTAAAGTCCTCTGCTTGAACTTGCCGGGATCCCATATGGGTGCCGATTCTTTTTTTTTATTTTTTAAGATTTATTTTTATTATTTTTTATTACAAGGTCAAATATACAGAGAGGAGGAGAGACAGTGGGGAAGATCTTCCGTCCGATGATTCACTCCCCAAGTGAGCGCAACGGCCGATGCTATGCCGATCCGAAGCCAGGAGCCTCTTCCCGGTCTCCCACGCGGGTGCAGGGTCCCAAAGCTTTGGGCCATCCTCGACTGCTTTCCCGGGCCACAGGCAGGGAGCTGGATGGGAAGTGGGGCTGCCGGGACTAGAACCGGCGCCCATATGGGATCCCGAGCGTTCAAGGCGAGGACCTTAACCACTGCGCCACCGCGCCGGGCCCATGGGTGCCAATTCTAATCCTGGCAGCTCCACTTCCCATCCAGCTCCCTGCTTGTGGCCTGGGAAAGCAGTCGAGGACAGCCCAAAGCCTTGGGACCCTGCACCATGTAGGAGACATGGAGGAAGTTTCTGGCTCCTAGCTTCAGATGGCACAGCAGCAGCCGTTGTGATCACTTGGGGAGTGAGTCATCGGACAGAAGATCTTCCTCTCTGTCTCCTCCTCTCTGTATATCTGACAATAAATAAATCTTAAAAAAAAAAAGAATACAAACTACAAGGAATGAATATTGATGAGGGCTATGCTGTTTGATCAGTGTGGTTTTCAGGGTGCTGAGCGCTTTGAGTTGTGGCTGAGGAGCCCCTCTCTGAGGGGCCCACTGACCAGGGAGGCGGACCCAGGAGCCCTGTGTCCCCTTTGTGGCTCCCCATGCCTCTGCCTCACTTCCCCATGTCGTTGCAGCTGGCCAGGACGCGGTCCTCCTCTCCACCATGTACAGAACCAAAGTGGGCCTGAAGGACCGGCAGCAGCTCTACAACCTCATCATCAGCCAGCTGCTCTACGACGGCTACATCAGCATCGCCAACGGGCTCATCAACGAGATCAAGCCGCAGTCTGTGTGCGCGCCCTCGGAGCAGCTGCTGCACCTCATCAAGCTCGGTAGCTGGGCGCGGGCTTCAGGGGGCACGCAGCTGCAGCAGCACCGTTGTTTCCCTCGGTGGCAGATGTGTGCCAGGAGTGGAGTTCAGGCCTGAGGGGCAACCAGATGCACGTGGGGAGGACATGGAGGTGCTTGCGGTCTGGGCTTGCTGGCCTCCCTCCAGGTCAGCTCACAGGCCATCTCAGAGTCCTCAGCCCAGGTCGTCCCACTGCCCACCCCAGCCTTCCTCAGTTGGCAGTTGGCTCTGCCACACAGTCATGTCCTTTGCCACCCCATGCCCTCTGCCCAGCGGCAAGCAGTGCTACAGGTGTCCCCAAGATCAGAATAGCCCAGTGTTTGCCCAGTGGAAAGCACTCGGTTGGATGCTGGCTCCCCAGGCACGTTTCTGCCCTTTGGCTTGCTATGCCAAGGGCAGCGTTTTGTCCTGAGAAAATAAATATCAACTGGGCAGCCCGACAATACAGAATTAAGTACCTGTAAAACTGCACAGTTAGTGTAACATGGTAAATGCTCCAGATGGATAGCAATTAGCCCAGAGGGATTTTTATTCTTACGGTTAATGAGTAAATGAGTCACAGCATGACACTTTATATGGATCCATTGTTGTTTAGAAGAAAAATAAGCGTTGGATAACATGAAGAAAGATTAATTCTGTGATGTTATTATCTCTGGGTGTTTAAAATTCAGGGTCATCTTTTATCTTCTTCATCAATGGTCCTAATTCTTGCTGTACTAATAAAAGTATTGGTTATGTGAGGTGTGCCGATTTTTAAATTTAAAACATGCCCTTGATTAAAAAAAAAGTTAGGTTTATTTAAATACTGTGTTCTTCCAGAAACATTTCACTGATGTTAATGTTGACCATGTAGCTGACTTAATGCGGTCAAGAGCAGCCACCAAACGATTTCAGTCCTGAAATGCAGGCGTTTGGGATGGAGGCACAGCGGGTACTCGACCCCAAGACCATTGCCTTGGTCGCTGCTGGAGGCTGGAGTGGGGAGTGCCAGTGGAGACGCCTCCGCCTGCCCCACTGCGGCGTGGGAGCTCCCGGGGACAGTAGGGTCACACTGATTTACGTCTGTCACTTTAGATTCAGAACTAAGTCCTGACTTTTCAAGGAAACGTGTTTTTGTCATGCCCTCATTTTGCTTTCTCTCAGGAATGGAAAATGATGACACCGCAGTTCAGTATGCGATTGGCCGTTCCGATACCGTCGCTCCCGGCACAGGCATCGACCTGGAGTTTGATGCGGATGTCCAGACCATGTCCCCAGAGGCTTCCGAGTACGAAACCTGCTACGTCACATCCCATAAAGGACCGTGCCGTGTGGCTACCTATAGCAGAGATGGGCAGCTCATAGCCACGGGCTCTGCGGATGCGTCCATAAAAATACTCGACACGGAAAGGATGTTGGCCAAGAGTGCCATGCCCATAGAGGTGAGGGTCCCAGGCCCGCGCTCGCGGTTGGACTTATGGTGTTCTCTCCTGCGAGAACGAGGGTCCAGTTTAAACCGCTGTTAGATTCTGTGGTCTGACTCACAGCTCTGTCCCTTTAACATCTGCTTGGTCTAGGTCATGATGAATGAGACAGCGCAGCAGAATATGGAAAACCACCCGGTGATTCGAACTCTGTACGACCATGTGGATGAAGTCACGTGTCTCGCCTTCCACCCCACAGAGCAGATATTAGCCTCTGGCTCACGGGATTACACTCTGAAATTATTTGACTATTCTAAACCATCTGCAAAGCGGGCCTTCAAGTACATTCAGGTTGGGAATGTTTAGAAAGGAGATTTTCTGAAGTACTGTAAGCTGTCATTTAGCTGATTTCTTTTTAGACATGTTTGCGTGATTGTCCCACAAGGCAGAGCTGCAGGACGCGTGCCAGTTGGCGCATGGATCACGTGCTGCTGTGTGCTTGCTTCCCCTGGCCAGTCAGCACGGCCGTGGGTCACAGGTCACACAACAGGCTTGGAACAAGAACACCTGCCCTCGATGGAGTGTGGCTCATGGGAACCAAAACAGTGTCCCACAAGTGCTACGTCAAGTGTGTGCCGGAAATGCGGCTGGTTTTGTGCACCACAGAAATGTTAACTGCTATGTCAGACAAAGCTAGCAATCCTTGAGTCAATTGAAGAAGCTATTTATTTGTTTATTTACTTATTTATTTGTTAATTTTGTTAGTGATGTTTATATAGTTGATCAGGATGGGAAGAGTCAAGGATTTGGGGATAGTGGGTGAGACCCTTGTTTACATTTCTTTTTTTTTAATTGTTATTGGAAAGTCAGATACACAGAGAGGAGGAGAGGAAGAGAGGAAGATCTTCCAATCTTCCTTCCATGGATTCCCTCGCCAAGTTACTGCAACGGCTGGAGCTGAGCCAATCCAAAGCCAGGAGCCCCGAGCCTCTTCGAGTCTTCCACTCGGGTACAGGGTCCCAAGGCCTTGGGTCATCCTAGGCTGCGCTTTCCCAGGCCACAAGCAGGGAGCAGGATGGGAAGCAGGGCAGCCAGGATTAGAACCGGCGCCCATATGGGATCTTGGCATGTGCAAGGCTAGGACTTTAGCCACTAGGCCATTGCACTGGACCCTCCACATTTTCTTGAAGAAGCTATTTTTATGTGCAAATTGAGTTTATCCAGTAGCCGTGGATGAGTGTGTCAGGTAATAGTGTACTCCGAGTACACCTGATGCTCACTTTCAAAGGATGAAGCTCGTTTTGGTAGCTTTGGGCTCAGCAGTAAATAGATCTTTGTTCCAGTGATACTGTGGTAGATTCCAGAAAGTGCTTTGGTTCCTTCTGCTGCTTGTATGGAACCTGACCATTGCTTTACGCCTTCTCTTGCGTCAGTTCGGTGTTTCCCACATTTCCTTTGGATCTGGTTGTTGAGCGGTGAGTGACTCACCTTACTGTCCGTCCCGACAGGAAGCGGAGATGCTGCGCTCCATCTCCTTCCACCCTTCCGGAGACTTCATCCTGGTGGGCACTCAGCACCCCACGCTTCGCCTCTACGACATCAACACCTTCCAGTGCTTCGTCTCCTGCAACCCCCAGGACCAGCACACCGACGCCATCTGCTCTGTCAGCTACAACCCCAGCGCCAACATGTACGTGACCGGCAGCAAGGACGGCTGCATCAAGCTGTGGGACGGCGTCTCGAACCGCTGCATCACCACCTTTGAGAAAGCACATGATGGGGCTGAAGTTTGTTCCGCCATCTTTTCCAAAAATTCTAAATACATCCTCTCCAGTGGAAAAGACTCTGTTGCAAAACTTTGGGAAATATCAACAGGACGGACGCTGGTCAGATACACAGGTATGTCGGAAGTTGGTGCATTGGAGCGTTTTCTGTGGTGCTTTCCATTCGGCACAGGTTAGTCTGAGCCGGGAAACAGCCTCAGGGCTGCGAGAGGGCGCCACTGCTTCCTGACTTCACCTTGTCCGTGCGCCTCCGCTAGGAGCTCGTCTGTATTCCACACTGCGGCCTGTTCAGACAGGCAGCCTGTGTTCTTCCGGATCTGAGGAGCAGCCACTGGTGGGGCTCGGTGACTGCGTCCAGCAGGGCGCGAGGAGAGGGCTGGCCGCCCCCTCGGGAAGCAGAGGAGCTCACGGGAGCTAGGTAGCAAGGAGGCGAGCAGGCAGGGCGTTCTTGCATTCCCACTGATTGCCAGCTGCCTCACTGCTTGCTGTGGGCTCTTGATAGCATACCTAATTAAATGTTACTGTGAGCAGTGAGGGTTGAGGGATGGTTATTTAATATTATTAAAATGTGTGTCATTCTTTGCCTTGTAGCAAGTGTTGTTGCTTAGCACAAAACGTCCAGGCTCCCTGTGTGAGAGGGTGTCAGTGTCCAGTGTACAGCACTGCCCAGAGGAAAATGACTCATGTCAGGGGCCCCTGCCAGGCGTTACCAATTAGCATCTTCTAGAACATGCTTGTAGCAGAGTTGGCAGCAGATGGAACCATTTTGTGCAGCGTAACCCTCCCAGATTGGTCTCCTGTCACCCAAGCTTACTTCTCCACCCTCGTCCTGGTTTCTGGTGTGTAAGCAGGGAAGAATTCTCAGGGGTTTGGTTGGGACATTTCGCCATGAACACTGCTGTGACAGTCCATCAGTGTGAGAGCCGCTGTGGGCCAGGCTGCTGCCCTGAGTGGTGCTGCCTGCCCTGAGGGGTGCTGCCGCCCTAAGGGGTGCTGCCTGTCCCGAGGGGTGCTGCCACCCTGAGGGGTGCTGCCTGTCCTGAGGGGTGCTGCCTGCCCTGAGGGGTGCTGCCTGCCCCGAGGGGTGCTGCCTGTCCTGAGGGGGCAGCCTCTGCCTACCCAGCTGGCGTGAGTGGCCTGCTGGCATGCTTAGCAGCTTACAAATGTTTCCCCAGGTCTTTGTGGTGGTCTGTGATGCAAACTGGAACTCTCCACTAAAACAAGCTATTTGGAAAGGCTAGTCACCTAAAGACGGATAGTGAAGATGTTTGCAGTTTTAACATTTGTCTATCATGTAAAGAATGTCTGGCCCTGCCAAGGCAGCTGGGCAGAACTCAAAATTTACAACAGGCTAATTTTTAGGCCTATGGCCCACAAATGATACAATTATCCGAATGGCCCTTGGCAGCAAGAAAGTTTCATGCCCCTGTTTTATGTGGTACTTTAAACATAAAATACATATTTCATGATAGAAAGCAGTGAAAATCTCTTTTTAGAAAGTGGGTGTTCTTACACTTACGTTTTACCATGTTCATAGGAAAGAAAGCTTTCTGTACAGGCGGATGTGTTCACTGAGCAGAGGTGGTCAGTACGCACTTGGGCTGCTTTGCTCCTGATGGAGATGTGAGGAAGTGTAGCGAGGGCCAGCGCTGCGGCTGCTGCTGTCCCGTGTCAGAGCAGCAGTGGGACGAGTCCTGACTACTGCTCTGCCGGCTGGCACACGTGGGAAGGCAGCCGAAGGCCTCCAGCAGGCCTGGGCTGCACAGAGCTCCCGCTGCCCTAGCCTGGCCCTGCGCTGTGGGTGTGTGAGGAGCAAATGCAGTTCCGTGTGCCTGCCTGCCCACCTCTCTCCCTCTCCTGCCCCCAGGCGCTTTACTTTCCAAATAAATAATTTAAAACTTTTTAAAATATACCTAGCATAAAGCTATTTTAAACTATGATAAATGTATATATATCTATATATATGACACCAGTCTCATATTTGTAAACAATATTTATTTGTTCCAAAGGCAGAGTGACAGAACTTGTGGTCCTCCACAGCGTGCTGTGTGCCTTAGCAGGGAGCCGGAGCAGAAGCTGAGCAGCCGGGGCCTGAAGTGGCGCTCCAGAACAGAATGCTGGTGACTTGCTGTGTCACAGCACTGGGCTCCTAGTTCTGTGTATGACAATACATCTTATGCCTATAAGTACAGCAGAACGGTTTCAGTGTTGCCTCAGGGGGCGCCTTGAGGTTGTTTTCTTCAAAGCGTAACACTGTAGTAGATTTTTTTTTTCCCAGTGAAGGGTTTAAGAAGTCTGCAGCATTGAGAGAGGCAAGCTCGGAAGGCTAGCCCTGTGCACAGGCCACTAACCTCTTGTTTCTGCGGCAGGCGCGGGGTTGAGTGGCCGGCAGGTGCACCGGACGCAGGCCGTGTTCAACCACACCGAGGACTACGTGCTGCTGCCGGATGAGCGGACCATCAGCCTGTGCTGCTGGGACTCGAGGACCGCCGAGCGGAGGAACCTGCTCTCCCTGGGACACAACAACATTGTGCGCTGCATCGTGCACTCGCCCACCAACCCCGGCTTCATGACTTGCAGCGACGACTTCCGAGCGCGCTTCTGGTACCGCAGGTCCACCACCGACTGAGCCACGTTCGGGCGTGGACCTTCTCTTCCTGCCCTGTGCCCTGTTGCCACCTGCAGGAGTGAGTCATGTGCCAGCTGTGGCACCTTGGGCTGCCACCTCTGTTGACAACCGTGGATTTGTACAAAAGAATCTTTTTTTACCTTGATGTAGAATCATGGTGGAAAAAGTGGGAAGCAGATCTGTGCAGTTGTGCGTTCACTGATTATTCCAGTGTGATCTCCCTGGGCTTGTAAATACAGGACTGGCTGTCGAAAGATAGAGAATTAAAGTGCTTTCCAGATCACGAGTGAGTCTGTTGAGGATTGTTCGTTGGTCCTTTTGTCAGCCTGCCCTCCTGCTCCTCATGCATTTCCGGGTGAGCAGGCAGCTGGCTCCGAGGATCTGCAGCACTGCCGCACTGGAGCCAGTTTTGAGAATCCCTGATTCTCTCCTGGAGTGACATATTTCTTATAAAGCTCAGATCTCGTTTCATTTCCATTTTCACTTCAGTAGAACTAATGGCCGGTTTTCCCCATGGCTTCTAGGAGCTGTCTCACACCTCGCATGTTACTCTTGTAGGACCTGCATTACTTTGTTTAGTAAAAGATTGTACCAGTTTAATGGGGAACGTGATCAGAACTGTGTTCTAATCCAGTTTGGGTGATGGGCCCCAGTTTAATGGGGAACGTGATCATGATGGGCCCCAGTTTTGCCGGCAGATGTCTTCCAAATGGTCAGTACTGCCTGACTGTTTTTATCCAACTTGCAGTCTTTTCAGTTCTCTGCAACAAGAACTGTGACTTCCCATTGGGGATGTGTGTTGTTAACTATCTATAGAAATTTCCAGAAACTTTTTAGGAGGTATTCTTAATTCTCTGGATTCCTCTGTAACAACTTTGAATTCCTCATCTGAAACGTAAAAACCAAATACCTCATGATCTAGGTTGAAGAGGACCTGGAAATATGATCTGGGATCATTTGATAAACAGGAAGTAGATTAAAGCGAAACAAGTTGCTTTATGTTTCAGGAACTTGTTGAAGTTGCCATGGAAGAATCCTGCTTTTCGCTCTACCCCTGCGGGTTGTTGTAACTCCTTGGTCTGTGAAGCCGTTTTAAAGGTTCTAAACATAACAAATCACAGCGTGTTAATCCTCATTCGCAGAGATCTCCGTCTGCTGGTCCACGGCAGGCTTCCCTTGGTGTCCTCACTCTGGTATTTGAACTTGGCTATCGATAGGTGCTACTTTGTAAAATTAAAAGAAACCCAAACTCCCCACTACTTTTTCTGTCTTTCACCCATGAACTATAACACAGAGCCTTAGCGTTTCTGAATTCTGCCCTGGCTCTTGTCCTGGAATGGCCACACTGCAGTTGCTATATGTCCTCTATTGGCTCTACTCAATTGCTTGTAAGTTAAAATAATGTCTGCTTCTTTAGAATGAGTTCAGTCGTGGGCCAGGTGTTTCAGAACTGATATTTACAAGATCAGGATACTTCATGTATCGCCAAAATAGTTTTCTTTTTCCCTCTTGGAAAGTCACCCCCAGGTTTTAGCTGGGCTAAGTGCCAGCAGTGTCCGTATGGACTCGGGATCTGCATCTCATTGACTGTACCCTGCACTCGTGAGGAGTGACATCAGGTCAGAATAAAAAACATGCACCTCGTGTTACTTGCAAAGATGTGTGGCTTCTGAAATAAACATCTTGTATATCAGGATAATTTAAAGCTGCTTTATTTGGGGCTGGGGGAAGCTGGACTGAACATTTCCGTATTTAAACATCATGTCTCAGCAGTGATGCCTCGCGTGGTTCTTACACTGGTTAATGCTTTGTTCCGGAAGTCAGGTTGAGTTACCTTCAGCTCTATACCTTTGCTCTTCTACTTTGCAAGGTTAAAGACTTTGAGTAGAATTTCATTTCTTCGGGTCCTTCAGCAAAAACTATCTTGGCTTCAGCTCTAGGTTTCTGTAGGAAGGGCCGGGTGGACGAGCCCAGTGTGCACTCTGCTGTGGCCTTGCTAAGGAGCACCCACGGGTGCCGGAGAGAGGCAGCAGCCGCCCAGGAGACTTCTGTTTCCTAATATATATTGCAGACCAGGTACTTGGCGTTTTCACAGACACTTGGGTAGAGTTTGGCTTGGATCTTTAACATAGCTGGCAGAACTGACATAGCAAGGGAACTCTAGACTCCAGCAGGTCTGCTGGCAGTCAGGCCAGCTTCTCGCCTCCTGGAAGCCTGAGCTCTCTTGAGTGCGTGGCCTGGAGACTTCAGCCAGTGGCCAGAAAGCACCCAGGAGATGCCGCCCTTAAAAGCAAGGAGGTACACTTCACAGAAACCTGCCTTACAGAAAGTGAAGGGACTATGACCAGGAATCTTGGGTAGAGAAGGGGTTGTGGACAAAAAGGCTGTCGTCTCAGAGCCCTGACCCCAAATTGAGCATGCTTGGAAAAAAATTAGCGTGGGAGGGAGTTTAAAGGCATGTCCAGGCAGTGGTGGCCACCGATGGTTCGTAGGAGCCAGTGCAGATTGTCTGGAAGACACTTGTTAATTCCCATGTTGAGTACTTCAGGATGGCACTCAGAAGCATGGGCTCACGGATGCATAGTGAGAATAAAAACACACCTTTCCTAATGTGGAGTAGAATGCAAGCACATAGGATATGTCTAAGGAACTAAACCAAAATGGGAGCCAGGACTAGAAATTTCAAGTAGGTTGGTGCTGACGCTGTGGCTCAGTAAGCTGATCCACCTGCATCCCATGTGGGTGCTGGTTCTAATCCCAGCTGCTCCGCTTCCAGCCCTCTCCCTGCTTGTGGCCTGGGAATGTAGTAGAAGATGACTCATGTCCTAGGACCCCTGCATCCATGTGGGAGACCTGAAAGAGTCTGCTGGCTCCTGGTTTTAAATCAGCTCAACTCAACGTTGCAACCATTTGGAGAGTTAACCAACGGTTGGAAGATTGATCTCTGTTTTTCCTCTCTTCAAATCTGCCTTTCCAATAAAAAGAAATCTTTTAAAGAAAAAAGATGAGTAAGTTGAGGCACCAGTGTTGTGACGACACTGGCAGCACGTGTAAGTGCCAGTGTAGTCCCCACTGCTGCACCGGCAGGCCAGCTGCCTGATGACGACCCAGACCCTGGGCCCCTGCCACACACGTGGGACAGCCTGGTGTCATCCTGGCCCAGCCCTGGGGCCCTTAAAACCACTTAGGGAGTGAATCAGCAGATGGAAGCGCTATTCAGCTCTCCCCGCTCTTTCAGCACATGCTTGGTGGCAGGGAGGGAAAGATTTGAATAAAACAATGAAATCTGCAGGAAATTAATTTTAACATTTTTTCGTTTTCACATGCACTTTCATCCTTCCCTTGAGCATTTACCCTTTAATCTCTGTTCTTGTAGATGTTGGGAAGCCTCTTCCAGTTCACCTGCCTCCCACCCAGCGGCTCCTTGCCCAGGCTGTAATTTCTGCCCCAGCTTTTCTGGTCCTGCCGGTGCCCAGCCATTTCCCAGCCTCCTGCCTGCTGTCTACACACGCGATGCTACCTTGGCATACATTTCGGTTCTTACTCTGATTGCTTTTTCTTCTCAACCTAAAAGTCAAAATCTAGGCTAGAAACTGCATTTGCCCTAACAATTGCAGTGACTGCAGAACCCCAGACTTGCCTGTATAGTCCATGTCCAAGGTTGCACAGTGACACTGAGACAAGAGAGCCATGTTTATGAATTATCTCTATGAGGTTGACATCTGCCAGAGAGTCGCAAATGACCTAAAACGGGGCAGGGTGCTTATTTAAGTGTGGCGTTCAGCTGTTCCTGATAATCCAAGAGTTGAGTGCTTGGTACTTGGTTTTAGTTTTTGTTTTCATTTTGTTTGAAAGGCAGAGGGAGTGTCAGAGACATCTGCTGCTTCACTTCCCAAATGCCCAGAACAGCTGGGCCGCCATGTGGGTGACAGCACCCCAAGTGCTTGGGACAGCATCCACAGTCTGCCATGCGCATTCACAGGAAGCTGGGTCAGAAGCAGAGCCTTCCAGTGTGGGATGTGAGCATCCCAGAGTCAGCCACTCCTTCGAACACCAGCCCAAGTGCCCAGTGTCTCAGCCACTCCTTCCAACAACAGCCCAAGTGCCCAGTGGTTGACACTGCCTGTCAAGAAGTTAGGTGACGGAAAGTTGGCATACGTAAAACAGTACAAAAGTGGGCAAAACCACACATGGCCACTTTGCCTTCCTGTGCATTTCTTAGTACTCCTGCAAGGGTGACACGATCAGACCCAGAACTGTTGAGCACCTGGGCCGAGAGCACGAAGATGACCTCACTGCAGTCGAGTTCTCTAGAACCTTCACACAGCCGGATGTTTCGAAAGCTCCCAGTTTCCCTTCATTGTCAATGCTTACAGTATTTGTGAACATAAAAAAATTCACTTGTCCTGAGACACAATTTTTTTTTTTAGGATTTATTTATTTTTATTGGAAAGGAAGATAAGATTTCCGGAGAGAAGGAGAGACAAAAGATCTTCTATCTGCTGATTCACTCCCCAAGTGGCCACAAGTGCCAGAGCTAAGCCAGTCTGAAACCAGGAGCCAGGAGCTTGCGGGTCTCCCACGTGGGTGCAGAGTCCCAAGGCTTTGGATCATCCTGTACTGCTTTCCCAGGCCACAAGCAGCGAGCTGGATGGGAAGTGAAGCCGCCGAGGTTAAAAACTGTGCCCATAGGATCCTGGTACTTGCAAGGTAAGGATTCAGCCAGTTGAACCATTGTACCTGACGCAGACACAATTTCAGCAACCCATCTAAAACAATTTCCCACGGCTGTCACTTGCAAAGGTTGTTGGGGGGTCACATACCAGACTGAAGAGCCAAGCCCCTCACTCCTAAAGCACTACGTTAGATGCCTGTGTAGGAGTTAATGTGTGTAACTTTAGGGCCAAATCCTCTTGTGTCTTAGTTTTCTGATCCATGTTGACTTCCCTAGAAAAATAATGACGTGTAAATTGCATCATTTTCCTGAACTTGGCTGCGGACCTCTCAAACTTGAGCTAGTGTGAGATCTCTTTTCCAGTGAACGTGTGTTCAGCGCTGGCTGCGTCACTTCACCTTGGGGCCTTGAGCAAGTATGCCCATCCTTCCTCTTTACTTTTTGTTACAGACTCAGATGTGTGCAGATGTATGCAGGTTGCCACAGGCCTGAGGACTGCTAACAGTTTCTTAGGAGGTGCTGGTTGCATGTGTCATGACCACTGAATTGTATACCCTGCATGGCACCTGCCTTGCATCTCCATAAAGCTGCTTAAAAAAAAAAAAATTGGGGAAAGAGGCTGCAGACTCGCTAACACTGAGCTCCTGATCCTGTCTTTCCCTTCAGTGAATTGTTACAAAGTGAAGCACAAGCATGTTATCCACAGGTGTCTCAGTATGTACCTCTCAAAGATAGGGACTTGGAAAGCACTCATCACCACATCATCCTACTGATGAACTTGAAGGTACAGGTGCAGTCTGCTCAGGTTCCCATCCACGTCACCTGTTCTGAATCCGAGTCCAAACAAGGCCTATGTGCGATGATTCAGTTCCACCTCTTGTCTTTTTTCTCACCGTTTTATTTTTTAAGAAACTGGGTTGTTTAATCAAACCTTTCTCTCTCCTTTTCTCCCTCTCTCCTTCCCATCAGTTTCTCATCCATGAAGCAGGAATAACATTAGTAGCTGTGTCTAAGAGTGCTGCTTGCATTGCTGGGCCACACTACCCGATCCTGGGAGCACTTGGTGGATAGCAGCTGGCGGTCACCTCCGGGTGACAGGTCTCTGGTTCTTGTCCCATGACTGCCCCACCTATACCAGGTCATTCTCTGGCAGACACATTCCACAGTAGCCAAGTCCCACACTGAGCAAGCCTGGCCTGCTGTCTGCTCACCACCTCCACCTGCACATCTCAGAAGGCAGGAGAACCTTACGCCCTATGTCCCAAAGACAAGTTGACCCCGAACAAGGTCAGGGAGACTTCCGGACTTCCCCTTGTGGGAACCCATCACTTCGGGGGAGCTGTGGCCAGGAGGCCAGCCTGGAGCACGTGCTCCAACTAGATTAACCACCTACCCAGGTACCAGGAAGGAAAGGGGTTCAGAAGGAGCACAACCCTACCCCTGGGGCCTCTCGGGATTGTTACACAGTTCGCCTTGGCTGATGACATTGGCTACATGCTCTTGGTAACTAGCCCAGAGCTGCTGAACTTCATTTAGCCAAAGACCACAGAGTCCTGGGGAAGCAGTGACCCATACAAAAAAAGTCCCTTATCAGACAGCCTCATGTTAAGAGCTGCTCCTTTTCCAGTGGTTTCCAGGCCCTTTAAAACAAGAAAAAGTGCATGCGTGTACCTCAGAGCTCCCATTTTAAGCATAACCGCGAGAGCCACTCTAGAAGCCCTGCTCTCCACGTGTTGCCATTGTCTACTCTCATCCTTTGGCTCCCCAAGTAAGAGATTAATCTTTGGTTTTGCATGCTCATTACTTAAAATTCTACGATTTCTTGGTATGCTACCAGATTTCCAAGCTTTCTTGTGGCTCCCGAGTCTTTGAGAGAGATGTTAGTCTTGTTGTAACAGCTGATTAAGTGGGAACTGCCGCTGTAGTAACCTAAACCTCAGCCTTGGTGCCGGCATCCCGTATGGTCACCGGTTTGAGTCCTGGCCGTTCTGCCCCCAATCCGGTCCCTGCTGAGGACAAGAGCAGACAGTGGAGGATGTCTTGGGCTCCTGCACCCATGCCGAAGATCTGGAGGACCTGGCTCTGGCTGTCGCAGCCATCTGGGGATAAACACAAGGGATAAATTTTTCCGTCTCTTTGTAAATCTGCTTTCTAAATAAGATAAAATAACTCTCTGGGCCTGGCATGATAGCCTAGTGGCTAAAGTCCTCTCCTTGCATATACCAGAATCCCATTTGGGCACTGGGTCTTGTTCTGGTTGCTCCACTTCCCTTCCAGCTCCCTGCTTATGGGCTTGGAAAGTGGTTGGGGATGGCCCCAGGCCTTGGGACCCTGTGCCCACATGGGAGACCCGGAAGAGGCTCCTGGCTCCTGGCTTCAGATCAGGTCACCTCTGTCTGTTGTGGCCACTAGGGAGTTAACCAGTGGATGGAAGATCTTTCTCTTTCTCCAGTCTGTAAGTCTGACTTCCCAATAAAATAAATAAATATTTAATAAATAAATAAAATAACTCTTTAGAAAGATTAATTAAGTGTAGGAAAGGAATGTTTGGATTGAATTCTGCCCTGTTAAATTTTTTCGGCCAGTAAGAATGTGAGTTGGAATTGGGCTTACTTTAGAGCCCACCCTTTGCAAAAAGAGCGGCAGCTGTGGTCCCGCTGAGGCCGTTGCAGCTGTGGCCCTGGGCCAGTGCAGCTGTGGCCCTGCTGAGCTGAGACCGTTGCAGCTGTGGCCCCGCTGAGGCCGTTGCAGCTGTGGCCCTGGGCCAGTGCAGCTGTGGCCCTGCTGAGCTGAGACCGTTGCAGCTGTGGCCCCGCTGAGGCCGTTGCAGCTGTGGCCCTGGGCCAGTGCAGCTGTGGCCCTGCTGAGCTGAGACCGTTGCAGCTGTGGCCCCGCTGAGGCCGTTGCAGCTGTGGCCCTGGGCCAGTGCAGCTGTGGCCCTGCTGAGCTGAGGCCGTTGCAGCTGTGGCCCCGCTGAGGCAGTTGCAGCTGTGGCCCCGCTGCGGCAGTTGCAGCTGTGGCCCTACTGAGGCCATTGCAGCTCTCCCAGCTGAGGCAACACCTCATCGCGCCCACTCACATGTGCTCCTTGCTACAGACCTGCTCGCTTCCCTTCAATGGGGTTTTCTGATTCTCGGCTTTTTTCTTCTTTCCCCTGGCACATTCATGAGGTTGTAGCCAAGCACAAGCCCTGTCTCCACATGGAAGGAGCCCCACCTTTTCTACTCTTTCCTCTGGGACATCTTCCCTGACTCTACTCTGTCCTGGGGCCCCTCTCCACAGAGCTCCACTCTGAACTTGTTAAGTCAGTGTGTTCTTTTATGGAGTTGCTATTCCCTCTTTGAGATCAGATGTCATCTGCCCCGGAAGTTAATTTACAACCATGACAGCATTTTTAAATGCAGGTGGTCCATTATTTTAATTGTCAAATCACATTGAGGCACACGCTCATGCTGACCACAGGAGATAAGACAGTAAGTGCTGTTAATGGCGATGGGGGAGCACCTATACGGTGGTACGCCCACATCACACATCAGGGGGCCTGGTAGGAGTCAGCCCCTCCCGCTGGAGGAGCTCCCGGCTTCGGCCCACTTCGGGTGATGGCTCAAGTGCTTGGGCCCTGCCATCCCGTGGAAGACCCCAATTGGACTACCGGCTCCTGGCTTTGGCCTGGCTGCAGGCATTTGGTGAGTAAAGCAGAAGGTCTCTATCTTTCTGCTTCTCTGCCTTTCAAAAAAAACAAAAATTAATGAACTTCAAATTAAAAAAAAGCAGAAGAGTGAGGAAATATTGAGCTGGTTGTGCTGGGGCTTGAGTCAGAACGGAAAGAACAGAAACCAACGTGTTTTAATGAAATGTAGACTCTGTTCCACCGTAGGTTGTCTCTGGACACTGGATGTGGAGCAGACTGGGCATGCCACGAGGATGAGCTAGAGAGTTCAAGGGCCACGCCGGGTTTGTTAAGCCTGGGAGCTCTGATACAAACATGTGCCAGGGTAGCCCTGGGTGTAGCGTGAGAGCTCAGAAAATGTTAGTAAGTATTGCTGGCCAAGACCAGGAGGGGGTAGAATGCCCCAGGAATGGACATTTGCACCTGAGAGAGCTGCCCAGTGGGCACCATGTGCACTCTGAGGTATCCTTCCTGACCTGTTTATCCTTGCATGGCTAACGTGGCCAGTGGCCTCTCATTATGGAGTCAGGCGTGGACAGTTTCATGGGGCCACTCCATAGAGAGCAAAGGACACGGATTCTGTGTTCATCGCTGAGCTTTCAAAGCAGGAACTCTCCCTCCAAAGCAGAAGAGTGTTTTTTCTTCTTCTTTTTTTGTGGTTTCACAGAGAAAATGAGTGACAACCTCTAGTTGTAGGCGCAGTGAGACGTCAGACACTGGGGAGGGCATGTGGCCTGGGTTTCTGTCCACCCCTTCCTTCAGCCCTTTTATTCTGCTCTTATCCTGCCTTCCAGAAGCTCAGCCTGCAGGGAGACTCTGCTACAATTTCCCACGTGTGATCAGATAGCTGCACAGAATCCGCTTTCTGAGAGCCAACCAGAAGCATGCGGTGACATTGCATAACCGGCCTCTGCCGCCGCCAAAGCCGGAGAGAGCAGCCGACCAGCTCCGAAACACTCACATCCCTGACATGCGAGGGACCGGCATTATGGATGGGGCGTCCAAGGTGAGCCACTCTGTGGGGGCTGCTTGTGGGGGCACGGGGATGAGCACCCACGATGGTCAAGGGTGCCGCCGGGTTAGTGTGGCTGAGTAGGGAAGGCACAGAATGAATGCTGGAAGTGCAGAATTTTGACATGGAAAAACCGAACGGCCATTTGGGGGTGGGAGACGCCTGAGGCCCTAAGTTCTCAGCACTTTGCACCTGAGAAGGCTGGAAATGACTACTGGGGAAATCAGCTTGCGGGCTGACAGCTCAGGCTGCGACTCTGTGTCTGTTCTCCATCCCAACAAACTTCCACCACAGTCTGTGGCTCAGCCCAACCTGATCCCTTCTCTCTCAGGACTCTGGTGATGCCTCGGGCAGCTCCCAAGGCCTGGGCTGGTTTCTGTCTGTACTCACCCTGAACACGGTTCAGCCCTCTTGCCTTGGCTGCTGTGGTGGGCACCAGCAGCTGTTTCCACAATACCTCAGGGGCTTGCAGACACACGAATGCAAATGGTTCTGTGTAGACAGCTGAAATGGCTGGCAAAACGCGCGAGCAGCACGCATTTCCTCAGGCACAAAGAAAGGAAGTTCTAGATCAATGAGATTTTACTTGCTACATCCTTTCTAAATGTTAAGCAGATGGCCGGGTGGCAGGGTGGGGTAGAAGTCTACATATAGGGATTAAATGTTTTTTATCATTACTATAACAGTAATAAACATCATAGTGGCATTTACAGCTGAGTAATCAGTAATTAGTCAATATATTAGCAGTCCTAGACTATTGAAAAGTTACCAGGAGTGGGGATGGGGGATGGTTCCTGCACCTTCTTTGCCCAGGTTGCCCAGCTTCCTGGTGATGTGCCCTGTGGCTGTGCTTGTATTTCTGTTTGGACACTGGCACACACTCTGCTATGGTGGTAAGACATTTGAAAATATGTGGCAGACTTGGTGACATTTCACCTCTAGGCACTTCCTTGCGTGTCCCCTAAGAGCACCAATGTCCTCCCGTACACCCAGCGCCCTCACCGTCTACACACTCCACCCGTTCCACGTTTTCCACAAAGACTGTTTTTCACTTGTTTGGCATGCGTGCATGTGTGTGTGTGCATGTGTGTGTGTGTGTTTCGATCCACACTGTGTTCTTGGCAGGTCTCCGTTGTCCCCGATCTGGAATAATCCACTTATTTTTCTTTTGTAAGCTTGATGTTTTTTCTGAGTAGCCCAGATTTTTTACAAGTCATACTTCTTGTTGACTCGCCTGCCACTCACTCTGCCTAAATCATCTCTGTAGCACTCTACAGAGGACAGGGAGTTGGCTGAGAACTGGGCGAAGAATATGCGTCGTGACATGGCATACATGCGACACGTATCACGGCTACTCCTGACTCCCTGTGCGATCCGGCTCTTGCTGCTGTACCAGTGGCAGCAGCTGGCCGCTCTCTGTGCCAGGCCTGTGCACCTGCGTTTCCTCTTTGCACCTCATGGCACCTATCTATGACACATTATTGTTCTTCGCTCCTACATTACCGAGGAGTCTGACATGACTGACTTTCCCATGGCCACACAACTCAAGAGTGGCTGTTCCAGGATCAAACCTGGGTGGCCTGAAGCCAGAGCCCAGTTCTCAGCCAACTCCCTGTCCTCTGTCCTTCAAACCAGGGTACCTGCCAACTGTCATAAAAAGGAAGGCCTTATGCTTTGCAGGCCACTATCTGTTGTCTTTTATTCTTTATTTCAAAAACTCCTTAAAAGTAGAAAATTCTCATCTCAAGGATCAGCCATCCAGGTTTGGTTGGTCCACAGTTTGAGACCCTGGTCATCTCAGCTTATACAGGTGACCCCCACCTGGTAACACTGAATAAGAACCTAAGTGTGCAGAGGTGTCCTCTGTGAGCATCTGAGGTCGCCTTTCAGAGCCTCGAGTCTACCTTGTGGCATTGGAGCTGAGTGGTGGCTGCCCCTTGGAGTTCACAGTCAATAGAGCTCTCACCTCCAGGTATACAATGACTGGCCTGTTTCTTTTTGTTGTGACCTGAGTGTATTACAAAGCAAGAGAAGAGTGTGTGAACATTAGCCACAGGAAAGGCTGGCCCGAGATGTCTTGGTGTCTTCTATTCAGGCTCCGTGGAAGAGCAGAAAGAATTGGTGGCTCACTTCCAGCTGGACACTGAGGGACTTGTTACAGACCCACTCCAGGAAGGTCAAGAGAGAAACCTGGGCCCGGGGCCGGGGGACTCCACATGCGGCCGCAGTGACGTTGTCAAGTGCGCATCTGCCAGTGGCTAGGACTTGGCTTGTTCAGAGCTTCTGGGCAGGAAGGCTTGGCGAGCCTGTGTTTGTGAGTGGGGAGGGATTTCTGGCCCTGCCTGTTCCTTTACCAGTTTAGAGACAGTAAGCATACATCCCACCGGGTGGTTCACCTGGCCCTGCCGGATCCCATCCCCAAGCTCCTTCCCCTTCTTCCTGGCTGTGCCTGCTTCTCTCGGCCCAGCTAGGGCCTCTGGGCCCTCCCAGTACGCCACCCCACCCAGAAGCCTCTAGACAATCCCCATTGAAACTGCCCCCCCTAACTTTGCCCTCCCTACAGCATTCTCACCATCTGTGCTGCCTACACTGATCGAGATAGTAGATGCTACTTCTGTTTGCTCTTTGCTCAGCGTTGCCCCCCCTCCGGGTTCCCCTGGGCCTCCACTTGTAGGCGTTTCGTGTCTGCTTTGTGGTGGTTTGTGGAGGAAGAGGCTCGGTGGAGGGCAGGTGCTTCCCTTGCAGCGTAGGCAAGAACAGGGTGGTGCTTACTGATTGTCAGTTTTCTGAGAAGACAGGTCATCCCTCTTCAGCCCGACTTGCCACTAAGCCCCATGCTCTTGACATTGGCCCCTTTTCCTCCTGTTATCATATGTTGCTGTACATGTGTGTCGCTGTCATGGACATCAAGGTCACAAGCATCTATGGCCTCCCTCTGGTCTGGCCCAGCAACTTCCCCCATCCCTGTCCCCCAAGGCTGAGCAGCCCAGGGGTAACACTCAGCTCTTGTCCACGGCTCAGCCATGCGCCCAGCACGTTGTCCTGGCACTCTGGGGCTGGGGGTGCCCAGGAGAGAGCTGACACAGGAAGGAGTCAGAATGACAGAAATGAAGCAAACAGCAGTGATTTCAGTTGGTGCTAAACTCCCAAAAGAAAATAACCAGGATACTCTGATGGAGGTGCGGGGTGCAAAGAGCCACTGCAGACCTAAAAGGGGTTCCAGGCAGCAGGCATGGCAGATGCAAGGGCCCTGTGGTCGGAATGAGATCAGCACGGCAAAGAGCCTGAGAAGAGGCCACAGTGTGGTTGCAGCAGAGTAACGGAGCACAACAGGGCCAGGGGTCAGAGGCGAGGTCTGGCATTCTGAGTGAGAACTGGGAAGTGCATTCCAACTTCACAGAGGAAGCTGTTGGTCCACCTGATGCGAGATCTGCACTCTCAGAGGACCCTTGGGGTTGCAGACAGCAAAGGGCCGAAGCAGGAGCCAGCCCAGAGATGGACTGGAGGGGCGGTGGTTTCCTTTGCTGCCAGGGACCATAGCAGCTCCTCTATGCAGTGCTACTAGAGGCCCGCTGGCTCTGTCCTTCGGAAAAGTCCAACCTCTGGCCTTAGAGAGTGTCAGGCTGGGAGCGGACGGGAAGAGGGGAAAGTAGAAAAAGCTGTGAACTCTGCAGGTCTGTCTGATTGGGAGACGGTGTCCGCTTCTGGCGACATTCTGATTGCCACGGGGACAAGGGTGCCTGGTCCCTTTTCTCACTATCTACTACATTGTGTGACAGTTAGTTTAAAAATCTATCATATAACCACTACTTGTTCCCTTGCCTAATTGTTTTTAATCCACTGTACATTTTATTCCCTGTAGAACACACTTATATTTAAAAAAGAAAACGGAGGCCAGGTTGTAGTACAGTGCATTAAGCCCCTGCCCGCAGTACTGGCATCCTATACGGGCAGTGGTTCAAGTCCCAGCTGCTCCCTTGCTATCCTGCTCCCTGCTTATGCATCTGAGAAAGCAGCAGAGGACGGCCCAAATACTTGGGAGATGCTGATGAGGCTCCTGGCCCCGCCCTGGCCTTTGAAGCCATTTTGAGGAGTGAGTCAGTGGAAGGAAGATCTCTCTTTCTGTATTTCTCCCTTGCCCCACCCCTGAAATTCTGCTTTTCAGGTAAATAGAAAGAATCTACATCCCCTCAGCAAAAATATAAAACCAAAAAAAAAGACCTTAGAAGACTGCTTTTGGGAAAGGATTCAAGGCGCAGGGGCCACTTGATAAGGGACTTGGGGAGTGACTCCAGTGACAGAATGGGGTCATTCTGGAACTGCGATGACTAAGGGAGGAAATGACGCACAGAGGGGAAGTCACTTTAAAGGGAGCGAGGTGGGAGGCTGCCTCAAAAGATTCCATTGCGCTGGAGATTAGCAGGCTGCAGCGTGAGTTGCAGAAAGGGGAAGGATGTCCTGTAGGAACCAAAGGCGTGTGGGGCCTGAGATGCAGGCCCCCAGCCCAGGGGCAGAGTCCCGCACCTGCACACGGGAAGCCACGTTCCCAGCCAGGATGGCCCGGACTCTCTGCGTGCCTGGCTCAGTGGCCCTGCTGCGGCTCGTGTTGTGCCGGATTTTGAAATCCCCAGAAAATCATCGAGTCTGAAGTCAGTGCTAAGGCATAAAGGTGGTTTATTCAGCAGCCGCTCTTGCTCTGCCCAGGGAGAGTGAGGGCTGGCTCCCACGGAGCACCCACATGCTGAGCCACCTCCCTCGGGGACTTTGTCATTACCCAGGATAAAATCCCTAGACCCCTTTCTCCACCCAGCACTCCTCCCAAGCTTCCCCAACCAAACCTCATGGGGACTTGACCAGCAAGGAGTGCATGTGGAGACCCCAGCATCAAATCAACACCAAACAAACGCGTTAGGCCTCCATGAATAGGGGAAACATGCCCAAGCAAGCTGGCCTGGGTAAGACCCAAACCTACTTGAAAGCCACAACATGCAGACACCAAGGAAGAAAATGTTTCATTTCCACTGGTGGCTTTGGAATTTTTTCGGGCCACAACCTCTTTCTCAAAGTCCCTTTGGTGGCATTGCCCACTGTGGTGACGGAAGTCCCCCATAGTACGCGGCTTTCTCATCTGAACCTCAAGAGGAACCCAGGGTTGGGTGGGTCAGAGTTCAGTGTCACAGGGAAGCCAGGGCCAAGCTGGCCTTCTTCACGGGGTCCTGGCCAGAGGTGCTGAGGAAACAAGGAGACACGGCCCTTTCAGCCTTTCCATCTCCCTGGCCCCTCGCTGTCCCAAGTTCAGCAGGTTCCCTCACCTCTGTGTCCCCCGTGGTCCCAAGGTATACCCCCAGGCACAGATGGGCGGGGCGAGGGGCACAGGAGAGAATGCCACGCTCTTGGCCTGTCTGTCCACGTGGCTGTTGGTTTCAGCCCAGAGCAGCTGGCATGGACAGCTGCAGACAGAGCACTGAGCAGACCCTGTGTGCTGCAGCCCGGACTGCCTGGCGGAGGCACACCCCCCACCTCCAGGAGCTTGTCAGTCTGCTGCAACTCCTGCTGATTTGCTGAGACACGGGGGAACTTGCCTCTACAGGATTAAGATGAAGGCTAATGTGAGATTCTGGCTTCTAACTTCCCTTTCCTGCAGGCATTGGATGGCTTGGCCTCTGACTTCCTTCATAGGGTAAGGAAGCGGGTCTTGATGTTTTCCAATAAGGCTTTTGCCTTTGGCTATCACTGAAAGCCATTTCGGGTATCATGCTCTGAAACAAAAAAGGAAAAATTCGTATTTCGTTTAAAAAGGTTTTCTTCTACTCATTTGCTCCCCTCCCTCCCCCAGCTTAAATGTTAAAGAGTAGCTGGGATAAGAGAGGGCTTTCTCCTTGCTTTTCTTGTATTGGAAAGGCAGAGAGACAGAAAGAGCTCTCCTGTCCGTTGGCTCACTCTCGGGATGGCTGCAGCAGGCAGGGTCAGCCAGGCTGCAGCCAGGAGCCGGGAGCACCTGGCGAGCCACACACGTGGGTGAGCCACTGCTCGTGCCATCGCTGCAGCAACTGCAGGAGCGGGCCTGAGATGGCAGGCAGGCGCCCCACGCAGCAACTTAGCATCCTGCATTATTTTTTTTTTCTTCCTTTGGAAAAGAGAGTTTAAGTTGAATGACTCCGTAATCATTTCCTGCTCATGCTGGAGTCTTCTCCCTCAAGAATTCTCCACTTCTTTTCTGCTGAAACAGAAAACCCATTTCTCTTCCAGCCTGTTGGGCAGGTCAGTGTGTGTCGAGACACAGCAGCTTGCTGTCAGCAGAACTTGCTGAGGTTTTGTTCAAAGACGGGACAGTTCCGAGAGAAACTGCTCTCTTTGAAGCTGCAGGCAAGGAAGGACTTAGCCATCACTTCATTAAAAGAAAATTCAAAATGTGTTTGATAACGAAATGCCAACCCTCGGAGCAAAGCTGTCTTAGAATCCCGTCAGTGAATCCTCTCACTCCATTAGGGGTGGCAGAGTAAACAGAAATCCGCTGACATCCTTGCAAATGCTCTGCTCAAGCTCTGGTTACGAAATGTCCCCTGTTGCTATTTTAAGAGCCTCTCAGTTCCCCACAACTTATGGAATTTTACTTTAAAAGGTAAGCATTGATCTGGAAAGGTTCTGTAAAGCAGGAGGGAACACACAAGCCCACAGGATCTTTCTTGGAAGGCCCTGACCAGGTATGGGAGGGGACCACGGAGGACAGGAGTCAGCTGCAGAGGAGGCAGGAGAGGGCGGGTGTGTCACACACAGGCAAAAGAGGAGTGCAGAGGGGGTGGGAACAGGTGGGGTGCGGACAAGGAAGGGGCCGGTAGCTGGCCCTAATGCCTCCCCCAGCCCTATCCTGCTGCTACACACCCTGACCCGGGCCGTGGGCAGCAGGTCCCATCGTGGGAGGGCCTCTGGGCTGGCCCACAGCTTTGTGCCTAGGACCTGTGTCATTTTGCAGCTGACCATGGCACTGCCAGGCCAGAATAATGACAAGGACAAGGAGATGCCCCAGTCACAGGGAGATTCATTCCATGCCTCCCTAATTTGCGTGGGCCAGGCCAGACACATCTTTACATTTTTTCCAGTCCTAACTTCTATGACCTTAATCAAATCCCCTTTGATTTAACAAATGGTGGTTCATGCAGCTCTTTTGCTCTGCAGCCCCACCGTCGGAGCTGGGCACAATGGTCACTCCCAAGACCCAGTGGCTTCCCACACCCTCCCAGGTCTCCTGTGTAGTGAGCAGTATAACCAGGTTCCTGCTCTTGGTCATCCTGTCGGTTCTGGAGAGCGTCCTGGGTATGGAGATTGTCTGCTTTGGGCCAACATGAAGCTGACCTATGAGATGGAGCAGTAGAAAGGGCTGGAATGGCGAGGAACTGCTCCAATCCGCCAAGGCGCCCATACGGGATCCTGGCATGTGCAAGGCAAGGACTTGAGCCTTGTGTCCTATGCCTGGCAACCTTCCAATAAACTTTTAATTCCACTTTTTCAAAATGAACTTTTGGAAGCAGTCGCTTTTTAAAGATTATATATTTTTATTGGAAAGGGAAATTTACAGAGAGAACAAGAGACAGAAAGATTTCTCATCCACTGGTTCACTTCCTACGTGGCTGCAACAGCCAGAGCCGAGCCAATCTGAAGCCGGGAGCCGGAAGCTTCTTCTGGTTCTCCCACGCAGGTGCAGGGTCCAAAGGCTTTTGACCATCCTCTACTACTTTCCCAGGCCACAAGAAGGGAGCTGGATGGGAAGTGGAACAGCCCGGACATAAACCAGCATCCATCTGGAATCCTAGCACTTGGAAGTGGAGGATTAGCCAATTGAGCCATTGTGCCGGGTCCCAGAAGTAATTTTACATAAACTCTACCACGTTCAGTCTCGTGGTTGAATCACATTCCGATGTGCAAGGCATCTTGTGACCAGCTTCTCATCAGCCTCTCAGAACACACAGGCTGTCACTCCATCCTCCAGTGTCTACTGTGACGGGGTCTGTGCTGGGCACAGCTTGGAGGGTAAAAGAGCAGATCCCAGAGTCAAAACTGCCTGTGTCCTGACCTTGACTTTGGCTCTTGCTAGCGGAGCTACCTTAGGCTGCTTCTTCATCCTCCCTGAACCCTGGCTTTCTGCCTGGAAGAGTTGTGAATATCAAGGGAGTCTGTCAGTTCTGCTTACATTTCCCAGTGGCCATTCAGACAGGAAAAACTGCTGAGCTAGGGCTTGTGACACCTGCCCCAGCTCCCAAGGGACTGGCCTGTGACAGACCCCCTGTCACGCACCTGTGAGATGAAGAGGATCCCCCATTGGGATTAATCAAAGGAAAGCGATCTTAGCAGGCACACACATGTACAGGGAGCAGTGGGCGCAGCCCAGGGCGGCCTTTGCATGCCGGCGTTTGCTGGGAACGCTGGAAGATCTTTGATTCCTGTCTGCTTTCTGGAACATACCTCCCAGAGCACCAGCACCTCTCAGAGGTCTCTCCCAGAAAAGTGTCACACAGATGGTCCCTCCTGTACCTTCTCCAGCTCCTTCCTCCTCTGTCTTCCTGTTTTGCAAACTGTGGGTGGGAGAAATTGGGTGGTCAGGGGATTTTTATTGTGTTCTCAAAAACTTTTTTTTTTTTTGCATAAAGTGCTTTTTGCTGAACAGTTAGTTCCAAGCCAACAGCTAATGCCATTCTCTGGCTTTGCTCTTTCTGTGTCTGTATTACATAATAGGAAACTCCACCTAAGGGGAGTCCTTTGTGTTTAGAAACCTCGAAGCTCTCTGTCATCCCTGCTCCTGTCACCTGGGTTCCGGGCCTGCCTCACCACAGCCCATGTGGCCGCGCAGTGCAGTGGGTTAAGGGGCTGCCTGGGATGCCTGTATCCCATCTTTGACTTCTGGGCCAGCTCCTAGTAAAGCAACAGAACACAGCTCAAGAACCTAGGTTCCTGTCCCCAGGTGGGGGACCCAAATGCAGTTTCTGGCTCCAGACTTAAACCTCGCTCAGTCCCAGCTGTTGCAACCATTTGAGAAGTGAGCCAGCGGATTGGAGATCTCCCCACACCCCCATCCCTCAGCCTTTTTAAACAAAGAGATAATCTTTGCCAAGCACACAGCCACCCAGCCCTGTGCTGATCTCAGAGCAAGGCCCCTCCCTGCACTGGGCTCCTTAGCAGAATCACAGGCAAGGACGAGTAAGACTGACAGTGTGCTGACTTACGGCATCACGCAGCTCCTTCATCATGGCTCTCAGAAGGGAAGTGGGAACAGTTCCGTCACCTTCTCTTACAACTCACTAAGAATTCTTGAAAATCATGGGGTTTTGAAGAAGCTCCGACACCAACCATGGGTATGTTCCTGAGAGGTGAGGATGGGGTGAGCTGGGGAGCTGCCCTGCTCACCCACCTTAGGGCTTGGGACCCTTGTCACCCAGAGCTCTTCCTGCCTTTACTTGTGGGGCACTCTCACTTTCCCCCTCCTGCTGTGAGCAGACTATCTTAGGATGAACTTACCTCCCCAGAAAATAATGCTGCATCCAGGTCTCCCAACCCCCTCTCCAGCTGCTCAGACTCCCATCTGCACGGAGCCCCTGCGGCTGTGTGCATGCTCCCTGCAGTGGGCTTGCCACCCAGCAGCCAGTTGTAGACCCATAGCCTTTGTCAGGTCATCATTTTTTGGTTCCCCCACCTGCCTGCTCCATCCCGGCTTGGGCTCTGACTCGCTCCTGCTCAGCCCCAGATCGAAGCTTCTGCAGACACTTTCCCAGGCAAGTTTCCCTGGAAGCTCTGGCCCACCACGCCTTCCTGATTGCACCAATCATCCCTTCCAACTTCCCGTGTTTTCTTTCCGTCTCCTTTGAGGCAAGTAAAAGCTTTGTCACCCACACTAGGAGTGTCCCAGAACCTGCAGACAGGTGCACTGCCTTACTCAGCCCTCTCCATCCACCGACTCAGCAAGAAGCTGAGGAGCACCCCCAAACGCTGTGGCCCGCAGGCCAGGTGTGGTCTCTGCTCATCTGCAGGCTAGCTTTCCCTGGGGAGGCAGCCTTGAGTGACACTTACCCATATAGGAATCAAGTTCAAATGCCAGAAGTACAGATGTGGGAGGATGCTGAGTAAAAAGCAGGGGAGAGCGGTGTGCTCTGCAGGGTGTGGGGGTGTGGATTGCCAGGGGATCAGTTTCCTAAGGAAGTGACACTTAAGATCTGGAGGATGCATGGGGGGGTTTGCTGCTGACTGTTCTGGGCTGGAGGCAAAGGCTGAGGGAAGGCCTCAGAGGGAAGGGGCTCCTGGGGGCTGGTGAGGAATTGACACCCAGAGGTGCAGGTAACTGGGCAGCTTCTAATGAGTCGCAGTGTGGGGAGTGTGCGTCCGCCCAGGCCCGCCCAGCTCCTTCAGTTGGGCCTGGTCAGGGCTGGCCCTCCACAGCCCCATTTTGGCAACGGAGTGTGATGCAGCAAGCCCAACAGTTCCCACTAAACACAATGGGAGGACTGTGATTGTTTTTGTTTCATTGAGGAACTATGCTCGAGGACTACTGGGTGTAAAGGGTAGAACTTATTTAAAGGGAAACATAGCTGGACAGACGAGGGCCCCAACGGTATGGACAGGTCCTCCGAGTGGAGGGTTTCGGGTCATTATCTTTTTCTTCTGTTGGCCTCCTCATTTCTCATGTTTTTTGTAGTGAATATTTTTTGTAGTGAATATAGACCAATAAAGTAAGAGAGAGGTGATTCCTTGAAAACCTACAGCAACTGTGGGAGGTCCAAACAAGCAGGGGCTGAACCATTGCTGTCACTGCAATAGGTGACGTTTTGGGGGTTCTGTGTGACTTCATGGAGGATTAGGGAAACTGAGATGAGCTCCTGATTGTGTGACCACGAGTCACTAGTCCCCTGAGTCTTTCAAGAGTCACTCATTAGCCAATATCTACTGAGCTTCTCCCACACCCCCACGCTGAGAACAGAGCATCCAGGAAGCAGGATGTGGGCTCAGCAGCCTGCAACTTCCAATCCAGGAGCAACAAGATACTTTTTTTGTGACTGAATATATTATCATTTTTATTGGGACAAGCTTGCAATGTTTTCCTCCAAACAACATACATACATTGGTCACCTATCCATTGTCAGTTAGCATATTTCTTTTTGTAAATGACAGCCTCTGATTTTGCCTAAGATCTATTTTTTGAAAGGTGTAGAGAAAGAGAAAAAGATAAATTCCATCCACTGTTTCACTTGTCAAATGGCCGGAGCTTGGCTGGTCTATAACCAGGAGCCATGAGCTTCATCTAGGTCTTCCTCATGGGTACAGAGGTCCAAGCATGTGGTCCATCCTTCACTGTATTTTCAGGCACATTAGCAGGAAGCTGGATAGTAAGTGGAACAGCCAGGATGTGAACCAGCAGCCATATGGGATGTCAGCAAAACAGGTAGAGGCTTTATCCACCATACCATAGTGTCAGCCCCAACAGCCTCTGTTTTAAAGTCCTGAATAGAGGGCCTGGCATGAAGGCTCACTGGCTAAATCACGACTTTACCATTCCCAGGAACCCATATGGGTGCTGGTTCATGTCTTGGCTGCTCCACTTCCCACCCAGCTCCATGCTAGCAACAAGATACTTGGAACAGGATGGACATTGGGTTTAGCAGTTCAGACATTGGCAAGGTGCTTGCATCTTGTATTGGAGTACCTGGGTTTGATCTCCAGCTCCAACCTCTGACTCCATCCTCCTATTAATACTGAAGCTGGGAGGAAGAAGTAATGGCTCAAAAAGTTGCATCTCTGCCACCTGTGTGCAGTACTTGGACTGAGTTCCCAGCTCCCAGTTTCAGCCCCCCAGTTTGAGGCTGTTGTAGGCGTTTGAGGAGAGAAATAGCATACAGAGGCCTAGCACAATGGCTCGCTGGCTGGGTCCTTGCCTTCATCATGCCGGGGTCCCATGTGGGCGTCCTATTAGTGTCCCAGCTGCTCTGCTTCCCACCCAGTTCCCTGCTTGCGGCCTCTACCCAGAGGATGGCCCAAAGCCTTGGGACTCTGCACCCGCATGGGAGATCCAGAGGATGCTCCTGGCTCCTGGCTTTGAATCAGCTCAGCTCCGGCCATTGTGCCCACTTGAGTAAATCAGTGGTTGGAGGATCTTTCTGTGTCTCCTTCCTCTGTAAAAATCTGTCTTTCTGGTGAAAAAGATATAAATCTTAAAAAAATAGCAAATGGGAGTTTCTCTCTTTTCATTTCAAATAAAGAGAGAATCAAATGCTTGCCAAATGCCAAACATGCTTAGGAGAAAGGGATGTTAAATGCTATATAGTTTGAACAACAATCCCACGAGGCAGATATTACTATTATTCCTTTTTTACCCATCAGGAAATAAGGATAGCTGATTTACTCGTGAATACAAAAGCCTGGAATTTTAACCTTACCGTGTGCCCCAGCCAGGGTTTCAAACCAAGCTTGTGCTGTGTTGTACTCAGCTGTACAACTGCAAGAGTCATGGGCAAGAGCTCCCGAGGATGTGACAATTCATCGCCTGAGTCCCCAAGGGTGGGAAGGGAGAGATCAGCCAAGACTCTCGGGGGCAGAGAAGGAAGTGGGGTCGCAGCTCTGACCCGCACTGAGGCGTGGGCACCATGCTGATAACAGCCCATTTTCTCTTCTGCCCTGCCCATCCCGACTAGACGCTGCTGGCCAGAGCCCTCTATGACAACCACCCTGACTGCTTGGACGAGCTGGCCTTCTGCAGAGGGGACATCTTGACCATTCTGGAGCAGAACGTGCCAGAAAGCGAGGGCTGGTGGAAGTGCCTGCTCCACGGGAAACAAGGCCTGGCCCCTGCCAACCGCTTGCAAGTCCTCCTTGAGACCCCGGCAGACCTGCTCTGCTCCCCAGCCCTGAGGGGCCCAGAAAAAGCCCCAGAAGAGGCCTCCCAGGTGCCTGCCCTGCTCCACCCTCCACCCGCAGGACCCGTATATGAGCAGATGAAGGGCTGGGTGGAGGGCCCGCTGCCACTCTCAGACCAAGTGTACGAATTTCCTGACCCACCTGCAAGTGCCAGAATCGTCTGTGAGAAGACTCTAACCTTCCCGAGACAGGTAAGCAAAGAGAGATCGGCCCAGGGGTGTGGAAACAGGGACTTCACTGGCCAAGTCCTGGGTGTACAGCAGGACCACTGTGCCCGCTGGAAAGCCAGATCATTGGCAAACATGACCGGGAGCTTGCGCTCCTTTGTCAGCACCCCTGTGATCCCCTGTTTCTGAAGACCACGCATGTTGTGTGTAAAGCCGAAGGATAGGTGGGGCCGCGTGTGAACACCCCAGTGGATGGTGGTTTCACACCAGAAGGGAGCTCAGGGCAGCTAATGGGAGGCTGGGTTCCCTTGAGATTAAAGGAAGAAGTCACCCTATTTTTACAATGTAAACAGCCCCATCAACTAGAAATGTGCTTAGATAGTACAGAAATACAAAGACAAATATGTTTCTGGCTGAGGAGGCGCCGTCCTGATGGGGAGACTGGTGAGGTTCTGCGTTGGTTGGGGGAGGTTGGGCGAGCACACAGTGGCACGTCACCGCAGTGAGAGGCTCCGCGAGCCGCTTCTAAGGGGAGAGAAGGGTCTGCCTCGATTGAACCCAAAGACTGGACGAGGAATCCTGCGTGTCTACCCGTGCCGTGCTCACACACGGAAATGACCCAAAGGAACCCAGACCGCACAGGCACTGTCAGGACGGGGAACTGGTCAGGGAGAAAGTGAAAGAGGATGCCAAGCTGGGGCCTTAACTCCTTCATGCCTGTGCCCCAGATCCCAGGACGGGGCCGGGCTGAGGCCGTATTGGATGATAGCAGGTCAACTAGGAACATGGCTTGTGTGTGATGACAGCTGTAACTTCTAGAAATTCCTTTGAAGAAAAGGAAACGAAGCACTGAGTAAAGGCGAATTGAAAACTTCATTTCTTTTAGTAAGGAGAGAAATCTGAACAAGTCAAGGGAAGAGTCATGACTTCTCCCAGGCCCTGGCTTTATGCCAGGTGGTTGGCACCAGCCTCTGTCACAGCGGCTGTCTGCCACCAGACACTTTGCTTGTGCTCAGACAGCACAGCCTCCTGGCCACAGCGCTGGCGAGGGGTGTCGGTGAGGGCTGTGTATAGGGAAAAGCCACCATCGCTGATCCGTGAGTGGTGGAGACCCCAGGAACCCAGGCCCCCTCCACATCCGCTTCCAATGCTACCTTCAAAAACCAATGGGTTGAGTCCTTAAACATCCTTGCATTTCCAAGCCCCAAGCAGCTGTGACATGGAACAGCTGCATCCCCGGACCCTGGCCATGGACTCCAGCGGGTGGCTGAGGGGACTGTTGGAAGCAGGCTGCCAGTTGGACACTAAGTCCCTTTTTCTCTGGGACAGCTGGTCTGCATCTGGGCTGACATGTCAGTGGCCCACTCCAAGAGGGCCTTGGAGGTGTTTCATTAGAAGAGGTTCATTTGAATTCCTTCAAAAGCCATTAAAGAAAAACAAAATCCACAGTCACCTTCCTCCCCCCACAGCCAAAATTAACAACTGCAACACCCAATGGATGCCCAGTGTCGGCAGCACCCACATGATGCCAGGCTCTTGAATGTGTGGCATGACCTAAGCCTTCAGAAGCACTGGCCCCCATTGACTGCTGGACAGACATCACCATGAAAGGAGGCACAAATTTGCTGTTGACATTGAACTCCATAAAGCATGCAGGGCATTAGCTGGAAGAGCAGTATTGGCCTGAAGGTGCTGACAGTCTGAGCCTGGCATGGGCAGGCAGCGGCAGCCAGCAAAACCACAGTCCCCGGTGGGGAACTCTGCTGCCCAGCGGGCCTCCTGGGCTTGTCACAGAAAAATACCTGGGGGACTTCCCTGCCCCCTTTTTTTTTTCTTTCCTTTAATCCCCTCCCTGTTAACAAGGAAGCTCCATTTACTCCCCATTCCCCCTTTTCTCTTTTTTGTCTTTTCTGTGCTTGGGGTCTCTTAAAGCAACAGGTGCAGCTGCTAGGGCACCCGCGGCAGACACTGTGTCATGCTGGGAGAGTGGAGTTGGGAACATCTCAACAGCCTCCGTGTTTCTCTTTCCTCTTTTATATCAGAAGTTTGCAATTGGTCGTTTCTAAGGTCACCACTAGCAATTCTGAATAATTTCACTTCTTGCTCTGCTCCAGGAAGGAAGAAGCTGGAAGGAGCTAGAAGCAAGGTTCAGGATCTTCTGGTCCACAGGAGAGGCAGGCAGGGCCCCTCACACATGCACACTTGGCATTTCATCCCAAGACCAAGGCTGTGGCTTCAGGGGGACCCAGGAGCGCCTCGGCCACAATTCAGGAGCTGTTCTCCAGTGGACGATCCACAGGCCAGATAACACAGCCTGGGCGAGTCACTGCATGGATGCCTCTTATGCTTGTTGGCTGCCTCTGGACTCAAGCTGACCCCAAACTGAGTTCAAGTTTGCAAGCAGGTGGACAGATGTCATTTTTCTCAACTTGTGCTAAGCAAGACATCCACGCGTCACAGCAGGTGTTCTCTCTTGCTGGAAGAGACTCTGTGGGCCGTCGGTTGGAGGCCCTGTGCACCGTGCAGGAGAGGATGCTCTCCCACACAGCGGTGACTGCCCACATGGGGGGCTGCAGCCAATGCCAGAGGGACTGGAACTGGTGTTTCCTTAACAGGTCTGTGCACAACAGTCCGCAGACCCTTCTAAGCATCCCCCGAGTCCTGGGTCTTCTTGTTCCTGACCTGTGGCTGGAGCTATTCTTTCCCAAAAACATTAAACTTAGGTTTTAATTTCATTTTTCCGCACATTTTTGGAAGCACCCTCATACTGCCAGAGCCATTGACAAGTAACGCGTTCTTTCATGATTTCTTTACCTAAGAAAGGCAGAAAAATAGAGAGAGTTTATTCACTGGTTCATGCACAAAATGCCTATAGCAGCCAGGATCGGGCCAGGCTGAAGCTGGCCAGTTGCTGGGAACTCACCCAGGTCTCGCATGTGAGAGGCAGGGCTCAGAGTGCTGGGGCCGTCAGCTGCTGACTCCCGGGGTGCACCACCCCAGGAGCCGGGGTCAGGAGCTGAGCCAGGATGTGCAGCCTCCTCAGTCAGCGGTGTAACTGCTGGACTGAGCACCTGTCCCGGTGAATTTGTCATTTTAATTGAAGTGTCACCTAAAGATCCTGAGGTTCGAGCGAGGTCACCAGACTCTGGATGCAGAGACAGCACAGGAGCAGCACCCAGGAGCACGTGCCGCATCCTTGTCTCCCCCCAGGGAGCCGCCTGCTCATGCTGCGTTTTACTTTTTATTTCAACTTCCTTTATGTAACATGTGGGGCTGGTTTTATGAAGAAGCAAACACCACATGCATAAAGAACATGTTTGATTCCAGTTGAAGCTTGGAGAAGGGACTCCTTGGGGTTTCGGGTGGGAAGGGCTGGCTTTCCTGGCCAGATTGCTCTGGGACCCACAGCTTCCTGAAGCGGAGTTTCCTTCTGTCTCCCCACACCTGTCACAACCACATTGCTCAGACATGTTCCCTAGTCGATCGGCCCCTGAGCCAGCCTTTTCCAAGAAGCATGCCGTGTTCTCTAACTGGCTTCCTTCTCCCCACAGTGTCACACACAGGAAAGTCCCTTGGCTCCCTCTAAATTCTCTGATAGCCTGTGTGACCCACAAAGTTGCCTCCTACACATGGGGGGCTAGGGAAGAAACGGGCCAGGGAGCAAGGGAAGGCTACAGTGGGAGAGAGCTGGGGCAGACAGGTGAGTGGAGGCAGCAGGGAGGAGATGTGGAGGTGAGGCTGAGGGCAGAGCCACTCCTGCCCTAGGACAATGCATGACCTGTCGGGCCTGGCCAGGCACTTGAGTTTAAGCCCAGATGCAGTGGGGGAACTGTCAACAAGCCTGTCCAGGACCAATTACTCTAAGACCACCAAGGATAGGGTGCTATAGTGAGGAAGACAGGAGCGCGTCTTCCCTCTCACACACACAGGAAAGGAAGTATAATTGTGAGGTATAGGGAAAGGCAGAGCAAGAACTGTGAACTCGAGCCTGTGTGTACAACAGGGCCACAGTGGAGGTCAGCATCTGCCCACGGGGAAGATCACTCCCTGGGAGCCATGGAGCGGGGACGTAGGCGGAGTGCCGGGCCGGACACCCCTCTCTGGGGCCTCTGCTTCCCTGTGTGGTGACTCAGACCCTCCAGACAAGCGGGAGGCCCCCACCCCAGGCTTGTCCTGAGAGCACGTCGCGCAGGCTTGAAGCAGCTGTCACTCAGAGGAGGGGAGCTGACGGCTGAGATGCATCCTTGGAATGTTGTCCCCGTTCCGCAGCAAGTTCACCTGCACCTGTGATGCCAACCCCAGGAGGAGCCGAATGGGCAGTTCACTCTTGGCATCTTGTTTCTTACCATCCTGTTGATAGACATGGATCCACCAAAAGCAGCAAATTCGTGCCAGCCATAGGGATAGTGTAATGAGTGGTTGGGCCCCATGCCCACACCACAACTGAATGGCCTTCCAGGTATCCACATGCTTTAGCCCTAACCACCCCTAAGGTCCAACGTGGGAAGCCCCTGCTCACAGGGAGGTACCCATGGGTACTCACAGTGGACAGCAACATACCAGAGGGCTCACCCGAATCCCAAGTGACCGTTTATGGGCACAGACTCCTAGCAAGGCAGAAGCAGTTGCTGACCAAGAGCTCCTAGTTACCTGCCAGCCAGACTGCTTCCTGCCGTCTGTGGGTAAACTCCAGCCCCAGCTGAGCAGCTCATGGCCCCCACTTCCTCCCACTGCTCCCCTCATTCAGACCCCTCTGTGAAGGTCTCTCTGACCTCTACTCATGCTGCCAAAGCTACCATCCATGATTCATCTGCTGCCTGTCACTCAGCCTCTGCTTCCCCTAAACCTCATTAGCCCCTCTGCCCGTGTCACTCACAGCCCTCCAGTCTCAGAAGAGCAGGCTTGTGTACATGCTGCATGCGGGACCCAGAACCTGCATTCTTACTGGCTTCCAGGCAGGGGGGACACAGGCAGCAATGAGGGGCGACGGTGTGATATCTCTAACCCTCCCTCCTCTTCCATTTCTCCCCAAGGCCCTCGTCTCACTTCCCAGACCCACGCGGGCCTCCTTGCCAATGCTGCCTACACAGGTGTACGACGTGCCAGTCCAGAGCCACATCCTCCCTGCTGGCAAGGTGAGTCTCACCTGGCCGCTGCTTGGCCCGCCCGGCCACCACACCCAGTTAGGGCCCGGGGTGGCACAAGGCGTCATGTTTCAGCCTCACGGGGCTGGACTCCTGGGAGCTCCATGACAGGACACACGTGGGCTTCTGAAAGTTCCTGGGAAATGAAATTAGATCATGTGCATTTTCCATCAACTCTGGAAGCCCTGTAAGCACACGCCCCCTCGGGTCAGTCCCTCGTGCCAGTGAAGGCCGTGTCTGCTCAGAACATCATGGCTGTCTGAATCCTGGGTGGTTTAAATGAGCTTTACTTCCCATCCTTAATCAATATTGCAGGTACATACACATGAGTTTTCTAAGTAAGGGTAGGCATTACTGTATCAGTTAAGACGCTTGGGACGCCTGCCTGCTATATCAGAGTGCCTAGACTGGAGCCCTGGTTCTGCCCCAGATCCAGCTTCCTGCTTCCCTGGGAGGCGCCAGGACACGGCTCAAGTACTCGGGGCTCTGTCACATACGTGGCAGATCCAGACTGAGTTCTTAGCTCCTGGCTTCACCCACCGCTGTTAGAAAAATTATACATGGATTTCAAAATACTTTTCCATCAAAACAAGATAGCATTTCTTTTTTAATAATTCATTATTTATTTCACTTGAAAATCAGAACTAGAAGAAGAGACAGAGATCTTCCACCTGCTGGTTCACTCCCCAAATGACAACAATAGCTGATCTGGGCCAGTCTGAAGCCAGGAGTCAGGAGCCTCTTCTGGGTCTCCCACTTGGGAGCAGGAGTCCAAGAACCTGGACCGTCCTCTGCTGCTTTCCCAGACCATCAGCAGGGAGTTGGATGGGAAGTGAAGCATCCGGGACTAGAACCAGAGCATGTGGGATGCCAGCACTACGGGTGGAGGATTAGCTTACTACATTACTGCGCTAATCTCTAAACATACCTTTTAACTTTATTTCCGTAAACTTCTTGAAGTGCCTTTACGTATATCAGAATAAAGTGCGTGAGCAAGGAGGGGAAGGTTGCATTTTAAAGAAGCTCGGTGACTGGTGCTTAGCAGGCCCTCAGAAAGGCGCACATGTACAGTGGGTCAAGGTGTCCTTTGAGCTCGCACTGCTGCCTGTGGCTGTGGTCATTTGGTTTAGTGGCTTTTCGTTAGTAGGCACACAATAAATGAAGGAATATGTGAGTGGTAAACCCTGGGAAATTCCTACTGAGTGAAAAAGAAGCAGATGACATTGTAGGTCCCAGTCTCATTTGTTCTTCTGACTTAGGCTTTATGGCAAAGTCACAGAGGAGACGGCTGTCTCGTTTAACTCGGGGAACTGCGGTTCACTCAGCACATGGCTGCCGTGGAGGCAGTGTGTTTGATGTTATTTTATTTTATTTGGTCCTTTTTGAGAGACAGGCAGTGAGCACCCATCCACGGTTTGCTCTCCCAGATGCCGACACTGGTCGGGGCTGGGCCACACTGAAGCCAGGAGCCAAGGCCTCGATCCAGTCCAGGTCTCCTACATGGCAGCAGGGCAATCCAACCATGTGAGCCATCCCTGCTGCTTCCCAGCATTTGCCTTGGCAGGAAGCTGGGACACAGGAGCAGGAGCTGGGTACTGGACCCAGGCATCCCAGTGTCAGGCACTTGCATCTTAGATACCAGGCTGAAGGCCTGCCCCGGGATGGCACCTTCTAGAGCACCAAGCCCGTGGTTGAACACAGTGACATTTACTGTGGTATGCACGCTTGCAGCCCCAGGTCCTCCAGGATGTGTGTCCTGCTTCAAAGAAGACACCAAGAGCTTGGGTGCCCGTGATCACAGTCACCAGGAAGGATAAAACCTAAGCTGTCCTTCGTGCTCTTTCCCCAGGAGCCAGAGAAGCAGCCATTGTACGACATACCGTCCAGAGCCCACAAGGCAGGACCGTGCCAACCGGCCAGCCAGGCCTATGTAAGTCGGGAAAGGGAGCTGGCATGCAGTGTTCCCAAACCCTCTAACGCCAACTTCTCTTAACAGTTCTCAGAGGTCCCATGAGGCCAGACTGCTCCCCAACCACACATGAGCAGCCGTGGGCTGTGGGGTCGTGTGTGGGGAGGAGGAAGTGGAATCACCTCTGCAATGTATCCACTTGCACAGCAAATGCTGGCTCATTGCTCCTTCCCGTGCAGGACTTCAGAGATGGCAGGCTTGTGTGTGTGTGTGTGTGTGTGTGTGTGTGTGTGTGTGTGTGTGTTGGGGGCAGGGTGAACTAATTGGAAACCCGTGGGAGGCGAGCTTGTCATGGGATGCTACCACTGTGTCCCTTAGACAATACTGTACCCAAGGTCATTACAAAGCAGCAGTGAGTCCATAGGCCACTGAAGGGTGCACAGGAGTTTGCTGGATGAGAAGGGATGATGGGACAGGCATTCAGAGCAGAAGATCCATTTTGGAGCAAGATGAGAACAGCCTCCCCTTCCTGCACCCTGGAGCACTTTGAGCTCAGGAGGGTTGAGGTGGGAGGGACACAGGCCCACACCCAGACCTACAAGGATGCTGGGGGATATGATGAAATGGGTACAGTTGGAGCAGAGTGAAGAAATGGAGGCAGACTGTGAAGGGCTGTGCATGATGACAGCCATGGGGAGACACCAACGGAGCAGGGGAGTGACAACCTAACCTAAAGGAACCACTCAGACCTTCCTGTTCTTGCCTCTGACCGGGTGACTGTGTGTGATTGTTCCCCAGGAGCCCCTGGCACCAGTGGTGGCTGTAAAGAACAGTGGCTACCACTCGCTGCCAAGCCCTCAGAAGTCAGAATGGATTTATAACACTCCACTGTCTCCGGGAAAGGCCAGTGTCAGAAGCTCAGCACTGAGGAGCCTGGCGGAAGAGACAGGATCTCCCGCAGCCCCCAGTCCTGGCTCTACTGGGCCCAGCCCTCCAGGCAACAGAGCCAGGGCCCTGCCTGGCCAGCCGTCCAGCAGCGTGCCCACCAAGAAGAAGCTCAGCCTGCCAGAAGTCACCTCTCACCACGTCATGGCGCTCAGAGCCACATTGCCTGCTGATGAAAGTGTTGTCCGCAAGTTGCCTTCCAGTTTTCAGGGCACCCGAGGGGAGCTGCGGAACACTAAGCCCAACATTTATGACATCCCCAAAGCAACACTGAGTGTCCGTCAGGCTGAGAAAGAGCCAAGGAAGGCTGAGGAGGCTGCGGAACCTTCCCTCAAGGTCGCCTGGTTCTCCAGATGGCACAGGTCTCCATCCCCCGAGACGGACACACACTCCATCTCTAGCTCTGACAGCAGAGCCAGCGTGCTGTCATCCTGTTCCTCCATGTCCACTGACTCCTCCTCAGAGGAATCAGCCAGGGAGCTGACCTTGGACTTGGACTGGGCCAGGGAGACGGTAATGGCCCTGCAGCACAAGGTCGTGAGCTCTGCAGCGGGCCTGATGCTGTTCGTGAGCAGGAACTGGAGGTCCAGAGACTACATGGAGGCCAACATCAATGCCATCCACAGGGCTGCCGACCATATGGAGGCATCTTTGAGAGAATTCCTGGATTTCGCCCGAGGCATCTGCGGGACAGCCTGCAGCCTCACGGACAGCAACCTTCATGCCAGAATTCGGGACCAGCTCCACACAATCTCCAGCTCCTACCAGACCCTGCTAGAAACCAAGGCAAGCCTGGACAGCTGTGGCTGGTCCCTGGAAGTGCTTGTACCAGACCAAGTCCAAAATAACCCAGACGACCTGGAGAGATTTGTCATGGTGGCACGGATGGTTCCGGAAGACATCAAAAGGTTTGCCTCCATGGTCATTGCCAATGGGAGGCTCCTTTTTAAGAACTGTCGGAAGGCAGAGGCCTCCCAGTTGAGCCCAAATGCAGATTTGAAGTGTAAAGGATGCATTGGGCTTCCCCAGGGAGAAATGCAGTCCTGCCCGCGGAGTACTCCTGGTGATGAGCCAAGAGAGAGCCATCACCGCCTGGTGCTGTTGGAAAACAGCACCAGTGCCTGTGGGCAGGTGAGTCCAGTGCTCCGAGGCTACATCCGGGGCTTAGCTGTGCCCTGGAGTGGGTGGTCCTCAGGGACACACGGAGGGTCTTCCCATGGCGTGCGGGCACAGGGGGGCATTGGTCCCACATTCCAGAAAATAAAATACCCTGAAGTGACCTTCCAGATATAAAACAAACAGCTTCCTCTTAAGGACAGGCAGGTCCTCATGGGGGCTTTTCTTCTGATCTTGGGGGGTCAGGTTAACTTCTGAAGCTACAGTTAGAAAAGATTGCAAACATCTGTTCGTAGTTTTAGATTTCACCCCCAACATTCCTTGCGTTTTTGACAATTATAAATTCAATCGATTGTGGTGTCTGTTTCTTAGAAATGTTTTTTCAAGTTTAACCATGGTCTGGTCAGTTTCCACACTGCAGGCCCTCTTATGAGCCCAGTCAGGTGTCATGCCGCAGGGATGTTGCTGTGATGCAGCGTTGGGCGATGTCGCGGTTGAATGCTGCAGAGCATGCTGGCACAGTGCTATGGCTCCGTCCCTAACTCTGTGCAGCCTCTTGGGGCAACCAAGCAGTGCAGTAGACACAAGACATCAGAGACTACGACTGGCACAGCACAGACACAGGGGCACAGCCAAGTGAGTTTTGAATAAGAAGTTCGCTAAAATGAAAACGAAAAGGAATAGCATAATAAACACAGCTGTTTACGTCACTGCCACGGTATCATATTGAGTGCTGTACTTGTGCATAATGGGCAGTGCAGTACGTTATCTGCACCCAGCTGTTGACAAATGTGCGAGCAATGCTTTGCACTGTGATGCGATGACAGGTTATCAGCAAGTGACAGGAAATGCTCGACTCCTTCATAATCTGATGTGCATACTGTAGCAGGTTCGGTCCCTGGGGGATGGAGATCTCACTGTACAACATCAGGCTGCATGTGGCTGAATGTGGGAAGCAGCTGTTGAAAGGGAAGCTGCGGTTCAGGATGGCCAGTGCCAAGGGGCCCAGTAGGTGCTTGGAGGGAAGGGGATGCCAGGAAGGTCATTTGACACCTGTTGTTCTGCTGAAGTGTTGGGGACTGTTTACCCATTCCAGAATTCTAACTATTCCTAGTTTACATATAGATGGGGGTCTTCCAAAAGTTCATGGAAATTTTACATTATGATAAAAACTATACCTAAAATTTAAAAATTAATGTTTGTTTATTTTTCACCACTTTTCTTTTGTTTTTTCACTATTTGTTGCACCAAACTTGAAAGGCAGACAGAGACACAGAGAGCCCCGGGGCCAGAACACGAGCCCCTCGTCATCGGTGCAGTGCGTCCGTGAGCTGATCAAGTTCACCGATGTGGTAGCACAGTGGTGACTCAGTGCCTTCGACCTGCTTTCAATGTTTCTGGCGGCAGCCGAAGCACATTCGGGTTTGGGTCTTGTGGGTCTACAACACTTCCTGGATACTCGGTAAAAAGCCAAAAATGCCACCATTATGTTTTCTTGTACGGGCTGTTTGCTGTGACAGAGAACGGCAGTATTGCATTGACCAGCTTCAATGGCTTCAAGGTTCAGTAAGCAGACCTACCGAAAGAGCGAGTGTGAAGGCTGTACAGCGGCTCGCGGAGCACACGGGGCAGAGGGGCACTGTGTGTGAGCAGCTGAAGCCTGAGGACAGAGCCTAGGGAGACAGCCCAACTGCCAGCCCCGGGCGGAACTGGGAGGGAAAGCAGAGGCTCCAGTGACCTCATGTGGTGCCACACCGTTCCAGAGGCAGATGAGGACCAGGGCCAGGCCCTGAGACGCTGGTCCTGCCAAAGCATATGCCATCGTGTTCAGTGTAAAGTCGGCCCAAGACCAGCAACGCTCAGGCTTGAATGCCCACCCCTTCCGCTTGCAGCCAGTGGCCAGGGCCCACCCCGGGGCACCTCTGACGAGGGGTCCATCCTTGGCCCGGCCCCTGCTATTGCAGACAGATGGACGGCCTCTCTCTTTCTCTCTCCCTCTCTCCTGCTGTCTTGTCTCTCTCTGCCTTTCGAATAATGTGATAACAAATAAGTAAAATTGCTTAGTTCACGGGAAATCTGTGGATCTCAGAATTTGTTGCTCATCAATAAACAGTTCCCCCTCACGTGTGTGCATGATAATCCACAGCCGTGTGGTGTGTGTAGCAGCTGCTGGAAGTGTGCGTTCATCTGGAGGAGGAATATTACGGCGTGCAGCTTCTCCTTCGGGGCGGCAAACCAAGGCCAACACAGTCAGCTCACCTGCCTCTCTCTTCTCTCTCCATCTCTAGAGTCCTGGCTCTCTGTGTCCCCACCCTCCGGTCGAGCAGAACCCCCGGAAGAAGCTCCACCTCTCCGAACACTGCCGGCTGTATTTTGGGGCGCTCTTTAAGGCCCTGAGTGTGTTCCACAGCAGCCTCAGCCACAGCCCCCCACCCGAGACTTTCATCACGCAGAGCAAGCTCATCGTCCTGGCGGGGCAGAAGCTGGTGGACGCGCTGTGCAGGGAGACGCAGGAGAAGGACATGCGCAATGAGGTGCTGTGCAGCAGCAGCCACCTGTGCGGCCTGCTCAAGGACCTGGCGCTGGCCACCAAGAACGCCGTGCTCAAGTACCCGAGCCCTGCCGCCCTGGGCCAGCTCCGGGCCGAGGCCGAGAGGCTGGAGCAGCACACGCGGCTCTTCAGAGGAACTCTGGAATGACCCCTTCTTGCACGCCATTCTGTCCTGGGGAAATCCCAGCCAGAGCTACAAGAGATGTGCTGACAGCCAGCACGACCGAGAGGCTGAGCAACCTCAGGACACTGACTCAGCCCATGGCGGAATCAGCAAGGAGACTCAAGCATAAATAAAGACCTTGTCAACCGAGCACACCGCGTGGGGTATGCAGGACTGGGGTTTGAGAAGGTCACAGGATGTGTTTTCCATACTGATTTGGGGTGTGTGTGTGAGAGAGAGAAAGAGAGAGAGAGTACCTTTCTTTAAAGCATATTTATTGAACAGTTACTTGGCATCAAGTCCTGCGCACTGGAGACACAGCAGTGAATCAGAGGACCAGCCCCTCATGGATCCTAAGATCTAGTAGGGGACATAAAAGGAGAGAAGCAGAAAGCATCCTGTGTAAGGGAGGAAAAAGAAGGAGTAGAGGATGGAGTCTAGTCTCAATGCATCAGTGCACAGTGGGTTGTGGGAGGTTAAACCACTGGCCACAATGCTGACATCCCTTAGTGGTGTGAGTTGGTGTTACGGCTGCTCCCCTTCCAACGCAGCTGCCTGCTGACGGGCTGGGAAAGGCAGCAGAAGACGGTCCAGGGATCTGGCCCCCTGCCACCTGCGTGGCAGACTCGGATGGAGCACCTGACTTCAGCCTGGCACAACCCCAGCTATTGCAGCTGTCTGAGGAGTAGGCTAGCGAATGAAGATCTTCTCTGCCTCTCTGTAACACTGCCTTTCAAATAAATAAGTAAAGCTTTTTTTTAAAGTATAATAAGTTGTTTTTTCATTGTAAACTGAATTGTGCGAATTTGGTACAAATTAGGTATCCAAGTCTTATGCCAAAAGAAAATTTTTTTGCTGTATGATCTTAACCTAAAAACACACATCATATTTGCAACATGTATGTTGAGTTGGCTTCTCTGTTTACTTTGTCCATTACAGAGTCTGTGTTGGTAAATTCTGCCCTATCGGGAGAAGTTTATATTTCAACAGTGTATGATCTATCACTATTTTATAAAATTATTTAAATAAACATGTGAAGTTAAGCCTCATTGGAGAAGACTTGGATTCGTGCCTTGGGAGTTCTGGTACCAGAGTCAAGCCTGCAGCTTCCGTTGTTCTCCCTGGAGACCACGGGAGATGCTGCAGAGGCCACGTTCCCTTGCACTTGATCAGTGCTGAAACCCAAGCCCACCAGCGGGTGGTAGAGACAGGAAGGCGTGGTGTGCACAGGATGCTAATGGCCAGGCACAGATATGGAAGTGGTGCAAAGCTCCTTTCAAGACAAGCACCAACTCTGCAGCTGAGGGTTGGCCTCAGTCGCTGTCGCTACATCACTGGCGTCCAGCCCTCTGCAGGCTGCAAGCAGCATCTCCACGCTGTAAGGCATCTTGGGTGCAGCTCCTGCTGCTTCTCGGCGCTTGAGGGGCCCTGGGAGCCGCAAGAGGGAGGCGATGTGTGCAGTTAGCCTCAGAGTCCCCAAAAGGAGCAACATCACAGCTGTGATACTGAGTTCTCCAAATCTGGACAGAGGGACTCTGGGTGGCCTTGCCCTTCAGGCAGCCGTGACCTGCATTGGTTAGGACACGTGTTTCAGATGGTAACCAGCCATCTCCAACATGTCTGAGCAACAAGGTAGAGATGACCCAGGCATTTTAAAATAAAAACTGGGGGCAGACTGGCTGTGAGGCAGGCTTTCCGCGGCTCTGACCTCTGAATGCAGATCATCGAGGACCTATTTTTCCATCTCACTTTCTCTGGGTTAGCACCCATGGTCACAAGATGATTACCCCCAGCTGATGCGTGATCAAGGGAGAGGGACCAGACTTCGTTCTGCCTGCACTTACGTCAGTCAGGTGCCTGCCTCACTCCACAAGAAGCAAGCTACACAGCACTGACTTGGCCTAGACCTGGAATTCCTGCGTGCACGCCCCCGACACCCACATCCCATTTGTCCTGAGATACCGCAAGACTCTCAGACTCTTCTTAGTTCCTGACAAACCATTCCATCTTAGCGGCTTTGGGGTGGTGGGAACCCTTCCCAAGTCCAAGTTCGTACTCACCAAAGGCCAGCCTTTCAAGCAGGCCTTCTCTCTCTCTCTCTTAAGATTTATTTATTGGGGGGCCTTGTGGCTAAATCCTCACCTTGCACGCCTGGGATCCTAAATGGGTGCCAGTTCATGTCCAGGCTGCTCCACTTCCCATCCAGCTCCCTGCCTGTGGCCTGGGAAGGCAGTAGAGGATGGTCCAAAGCCTTGGGATCCTGTATCCATGTGGGAGGCCTGAAAGAGGTTCCTGGCTCCTGGCACTGGATCGGCTCAGCTCTGGCTGTTGCAGCCACTTGGGGAGTGAATCAGTGGTTGGAAGATCTTTCTCTCTTGATCTCCTGCTCTCTGTATATCTGCCTTTCCAATAAAAATAAATCTTTTTACAAAAAGATTTGAAAGAACAATAAAGTCTCTCTGAATCTCCTTCTTTCTCCTCTCTCTCTCTCTCTCTCTCTCTCACACACACACACAAACACATACATATGCTGGCTCACTCCCCACATGGCTGCATGTTAGCCAGATCTGGACCAGGCTGGACCTAGGAGCTAGAACTCCAGCCCCGTCTCCCACATGGGTACGAGGGGTTCAAAGTACTCATTCCATCTCGCACTGCCTTTTCAGGCACTTCAGCCGAAAGCGGGGTCGTTCATACGGGATCTTGGTGTCACAGCAGTGGAGCCACTTCCGAACACGGTGGAACTTCCTCTTCTCCACAGTGAGACTCAGGCCTCCTTCCCACAACATCACAAGCCCCTCACACTTCAGCAGCACATCATTCCTCCTGTTCCACAAGCCAGCCAGGTGCACGTTGGCGTCAAAGCCCAGAAAATCCCAGCCTGGGGATCCGCAACATCTCATCATGGGTGCTGGGTAACCTTGACCGAGGGTTGCCACACGGGGAGGCAGCCAGTCTCTCAGGCTGGACTCATCTGTCCTCTGGCCTTGGGCAAGGGGAAAGCAGTGTCTCTGTCTTCAAGGCCGCTGGCGACAAACGCCCATGAAAACACAGACTACGATGCCATGGGTGCTCTGCCAAGATGTGTGGAAAGGCAAAGACTCACAGAGAACCCCAACAGGACCCACCAGCAAGAGTCAGCCGCTGGAAGACTGCTAGGAAGCGGAGAGTGAGTGCGTACCGCGACACAGGACGCAGCAGCAGCACCTGCTGAATCCTTGCCAGCTCACTGCTGCTCTTCCGGAACCTTCCGGAACCGCGGCAGCTGTCCATCTAAGTGATGGCTCCGTGACTACCAGGGCACTGCCATAACACACCATGCACGTGAACACAGTCCTTCCTTCCTGAGCCACCACTGCTAAGACATAACAAACACATCTTTCCTTTTTATTTATTTTTTTATTTTTCCTACATGAGTTCATGGGGATCTTTGCTGATAAAGTGCAAGGCCATTGGACAGGAAGAAAGAAAAATGCTGCTCTTTGCAAAATGTGTTTCCTTCCTTTTTTTTTTTTTTTTAAAAAAGAATGGTTACGGGTATATGATTTTCCACTCATTAATCGGAGGATAATGTCTCAAAAAATTTTAATTGGATTTTTTGGCTAAGTCTTTTTTTTTGGATGCCCATAATTCTGTGCCATTTCCTCCCAAGGAAGGAAGGGGAAGCGTGGGGTGTTGTGGCGGCAGGGGTGGTGCTAACAGCTTGACCTCAATTAGGTTACACTTCATGAGTGGTGAGGGCCCCACCACCACACAGATCTTCAGCAAGACAAGCGCGTTGCTTTCCGCTGGCGGCTGTTTCGTTCACCATGCACCTTTCTAAAAATCTTAGCTCTGCCACGTGGGCCCTTCGGGTTCCCAAACCTTGCCTGTTTGTGCACGCATCCTACTGAAGTGCATCAAGGCAGCTCCCTCACTGTCCGGTTCAGAGATGCTTCCCGAGCGCCAGCCTGCTGCCCGGAGCCTGTGCAGGGAACAGGGAGGAGGCCCTGATACGCAAGGTATTCAAACGGAAGAGTTCTCCATGGTGCCTGCAAATGCAAGGGGGCTCCATACCTTGAGTGATCGAGACAAATGTTTGGATGAGGTCATTTTTGGCCGTTACTTTATTCTTTGTTATTTGTTTGAAAAGCAAGGAGAGAAAGAGATCTCATTCATTGATTCATTCCTTAAGTCATTGCAGTGGCCTGGCCTAGCTCAAGTTGAAGTCACGAGCCCTGAACTCCATCTGGGTTTGTCCCACGTGGGGGATAAGCACTCGGTCCTCGAGCCATCACCGGTGATCTCCCCAGGGAGTGAGCAGGAAGCTGCATCAGGAGTCGAGGCAGAAATGGGACTCCACCCTAGGCACTCCAACACAGAACACATCCCAAGTGGCCTGTCGTTACCCTCCCCGCTTACTACAGTATTTTCAAAGAAATAAAAATTGATGCAAAGTTCATGGAGAACAAGATAGCAAAATTCAAACATGTAACATGAAGGAGGGGGTAATGGGAAGGAGCGGTGCTCTCTTGGATGGAGAGCTGAAGGAGGGTAGTCCTGAGCGGGCCCAGGAGCCGAGCCAGGACTCCTCGGATGGAGAGCTGAAGGAAGGTGGTCCAGAGCGGGCCCAGGAGCCGAGCCAGGACTCCTCGGATGGAGAGCTGAAGGAAGGTGGTCCAGAGCGGGCCCAGGAGCCGAGCCAGGACTCCTCGGATGGAGAGCTGAAGGAAGGTGGTCCAGAGTGGGCCCAGGAGCCGAGCCAGGACTCCTTGGATGGAGAGCTGAAGGAAGGTGGTCCAGAGCGGGCCCAGGAGCCGAACCAGGACTCCTTGGATGGAGAGCTGAAGGCAGGTGGTCCAGAGCGGGCCCAGGAGCCGAGCCAGGACTCCTTGGATGGACAGCTGAAGGCAGGAGAGGGCAGGGTGTCTGCAAGTCATGGACCACAGGTGGGCAAAGAGGCCGGGGCTTGCCAAGGAAAAGAGGAGGGGCCTGCATGAGCGGGGTGGGTGGCCAATTCACGGAAGGCAGGTATATTTTTTAGAACATTTTGAATATCTCTGCCAATTAAAACTAATGTTTGTCTTAGCCTGTCTCCGTTTTCCATTTCATTTTCATCTTCTTTTTGGGGTTCCTCCCCAAATGAACTTTAAGTGGCATTTGTGAAATTCTCCAAAAATCCTAATCCATGATTTTTACGTTAACTCTTTCAATGAATTTTCAGTCTGTGTGTCAGCTGTGCCCAGACAGAATGCTCAGCTGCGGCTTTGGTGTAGGCATAGAACCACCAGGAAACCAAACCCTGGAGCAGTCTGAGGCATCTGAGGACTACGGCAGCAGCAAAGGCTCCTGGGCTGTGAGTCACCGTGTGCAACAGTCACCGTGTGCAACAGTCACCGTGTGCAACAGTCACCGTGTGCAACAGTCACCGTGTGCAACAGTCACCGTGTGCAACAGTCACCGTGTGCTAATAGACATTTTTCTAAGGCTTTCATCTGAAGTTTCTATCAGATTCTCAAACAGATCCAGTAACTCCAAAAAGGTTAGCATCAAAATTTTAGAAATATTTGGAAGGCAGAGTTACAGAAAGATTTTCCAT